GGATGGTACCTCCCCGGAGAGGAGGGCCGGGGAGTCCCAACGGTGTTAAGGGGAAGGTGGTGAGCTGAGCTTTGCACACGCTGTGGAGCCGTGAGGCCGAGGAGTGACAGACGGGTGGGGCTCAGAAGACAGCGCGGGCCTGAAGACCCAGCTCAGGGACCGAAGGAATCAGCAGGAGATGGAACAGCAGAGGTTACTGAGGCCTGAGCCGAGATACGCTGACCTTCAACAAGCTGAGCAAAGAGGAAGGTGGTTTAGGTCAGGGAAGGAGACAGACATACAAATTCATCCTACAGGGCAGAGTCAAAATTTGCTACCTGAGCAGGTATAGGGGAAGGCGCCAGGAGCCTGGAGGGGGCGTGGGGGACATAATTCTGAGGTTTTACACAGTTGGAAAGACAGCAGTGCTGCTAACTCAGGAGGGGACAATGGGGGACAAATAGGTCCTGTAGGAAAATACGCTAGAAGTATCCAGAGGAGACCTGGGTTGGGCTGTCCATTAGCCATTGATGTGAATGTCTGAAACTCAGCAGAGAGCGCAGAGATAGCGGAATGGACAGGAGAAGAACTGCTGGGAGTAAGAGACGAAAGTGAGGAGGAGAGGGCAGGGGCAGCAAGCTCTTCGAGAGCAGCAGGTCCACACTGGACTCGTGGGTGTCTACACCATGAGAATGGTGCTCAAGGACGAGACACAGATCCAGGCAGTGATGCCGAGGCCGTCAGAGAGTGGGAAAGCAGGCATCCTCAGCCACGCTACCTGAGGACGTCCGAGTCACACTCACCTATGGGGTCCTTACTGTAAAGCACCCCGGTGCCACTCCAGTAATGAATCACAAGTTTGAGACTGCTGGATCTCAGGAGCCGCAGTTGTCCCTGACTCCCTTGCAGACACAATTCTTTTTTTTTTTTTCAGTCTTTTTGAGACAGGGTCTTGCTGTGCAGCTCACGCTGGCCTTGAGCTCACTTTGTAGCCCAGGCTGGTCTCAAACTCGCAAAGATCCTCCTGCCTCAGCCTCCTGAGTCCTGGGATTACAAGTGTGCGCCACCATGCCTGCCTTCTCAGACACGATTCATAAACACCCCTTTAAAGTGGGGGAGTGGGGTGACTCAGAAGCCAAGCGAAGCGAGTTTCTAGGAGTAAAGGAGTCCTGTGTGGGACCCTTCAGAGGGGCCGAGCAGAATAAAGAAAGAGAAAAGACCCGCTGGGTGGGGAAGCTGGAGCTGACACAGAATAACGGGGGTCTGAAAGGAGAAGTGGAGTTGATGGTGGAAGAGACAGGGAAACAAAAGCGGCTGCAGCGAGGGCCTCAGAGGCCCCCAGAGTCCCCACGGTGTTAGGGTCACCTGGGGATCTTCCAAGTCAGTGTGTCCAGGATCTCATTTGTGCCGGCACTGGGGAATCGCTGGTGTAGATGGCTTTCTCAGGATGTCTGGAGCTCGGGAAAATAGAAAAACGAATGGAAATCAAGTAAGAGCCACAGGACTGAAGAAGCGGGGTGGGGGAGGGCTTTCTTTGTATCGCCGATGTCTAGCACAGTTTGAGGCTGAAGGAAGTCGGTTTCGCTGAAGACATTAGAGAAGGGAGGGGCGCAGGTATTCTTTCACAGCACATCTGATGCCGGCAAGAACGATCCAGCAAGAACGATCCAGCAGAGGGGGAAATTGACAGTGCTACGGATAACAGGAATAATCGATGGACTGCCGTTCTCGAGAAAGCAGAAAAGCCTCTTCTCCTAGATAATCCTAGTTTACTCCCTAGCCTCCTTCAGACCTTAGAGACATTCCTAAGGCCTTCCCTGGCCCCGGCCATGATTTGAAATAGCGAGGCCACCTCTTCCCTGCACATCCTTTACCCACCTAGGCGGCTTTCACTTTCTGCACAGCACGGATCTCCACCTGATACGCTAGCTTTTACTAACTGACCTCTCTACAAGAATGTAACCCGTGAAGGCAAGGGTTTTACCTATTTCACTCAATGCTATCTCCCCAGTACACAGAGAAGCTGTAGTATCTTTAACACTCAGTTATCATTTAATATTCAGTGAGCAGAATCCAGGGAGGAAGCAGAGAGCAGATCAAGGGCACAAGTATAGAGTTAGCCTCAAAAGGAGATGTAATACATTCTTCTCGTGGGGAAGGATGTTTACTGGCTTTGGACCCCTGAGTAAAGCTGTGACAGTAGAGCCATTACACGCAGGGCGTGTCATGGGCCATGCCCAGGTCTGTGCATTTCACACGTGTTAACTAGTAGCCTCACAACAGCCTGCTGGTAGGTTGTATCATCTCCGTCACACAGATGAGGAAACTGAAGTGGACTGAGCTTAGGTAATGTGTCCAAGGTGAGCAGCAAGTCAGTGGCAGAAGTGGGATAGAAACCCACAATGATCGGACCCCAGGACCCATCGCCTCCACCTCCACACCCTACTACGTCTTCCATGTTCTTTGGTGAGAGGGATACAGCAGCAGTGGGACAAGACACTGAGAAGAGATTTGGAACAGCATCTGAGAGCTTACTTAGTACAGGACCACCTGGGAGAAAATGAAAGGCTTTGCTGAATAGTGCGAAAGGCCAGGACACAACCAGACATGGTTTAGTGGTGGGCTCCATCCGCTGGGCAGGTCACTGTAGTAACAGTGACGCAGTTACGCCAAGTTTTTGGGTTGGTGGAACAGGCAGAGTGGTCAAGCAAGCAAGCTAGGATGGAAGCAAGTCTGAAATAGTTAACAAGGAACCCGGCAGCAAGTTAATGAACTTGGAGCACTGGGGACCCGGGAAATAGAGGTCATAGCATCCAGGAAGAAAAGACTTTGGAGAAATATAAGGGAGACATGAAAGCGACATTGTCAGAGACAATGTGCAAGTGTGGGGAATGGGACGAGGGAACTGTCCACAGGGATGAGGGCCATCTGAGGCAGGGCTGAGTCACTGGGTTGACCTCATGTTCTCCTCCCTTTGCAAACCCCCACTGTCTATGTTGATGCTTCAAATTTCCACAAGCCAAGGGAAGCTCTTCCTCCCGTAACTGATGGCAAAGCTCAGAAGGGAGATAAACCAATGCTTTGCGTCAAGTCCTCAGGTAAGGGCTTTCAATTCCTTCCCTAGAGCTCGCTTAGCTACCAAGGATGCTCAGTAGGTGCCAAGGTGGGAAGAAAGAGGTGAGGGCCGGAGGAAGGGACGGGTAATCACTGGGCCAGTCTGTGTAAATGCAGCCCTAGCTGGGACTTTTGGAAAGTAACAACTAATCTATATAAACCGAATATTTTAGCTTTCTAATAATGCATCCAAATCAAATGCTTTTACGTGTGCTCTCCTACCACGTCCCTGGTCACTGCTACTGGAAAATTCTGACCTGAGCTTCCAGGAGTCAGTGTGCAGATGATTTTTGCGGTGGGGTTGTGTTCCAATAGCAAAAGGTAAGGTGAGAATGCTGCATTGAATACACCACCCCCACTGAACACTTTAACTTAGCACAGAACACTGTACACTGTAGTTGCCCGCTGTTTACCTTCATGAGGGTACAGCCACCCAGGCCTGTGGCTACCTGCATGTGCTGCACGTTGTAAGAGGCTATCAAGCTGCGTATGGCAAGCTCAGGAAAATGTAAAAGCTAAACTTTGAAGTACGGTTTCTACTGAATGTGTATCACTCTTATAACATCGAAAAGTTGAAAAATGTTATGTGGAAAGCAGCTTTATTAAGTCAGAGCATTTGTACTTGTTTTTCTGTGATTGTTCTCTGAATTCTTCAGAGTTATCACCACTCGGGGCAGGAAAAACAGCTCCTTTAGCTGCAGCAAGAACAGAGGACATACCGTCTTTACAAGTGAGAAGTAATGGATAAAAGGTATCAAAATGAGTATTATTCACCCTTAAAAGGGATGAAATTCTGAGACAAGCCACAATACGGACAAACCTGGAAAACACGCAAAGGGAAGCGCGCCAGCCCTGAGGGACAGATATGGAAACTCCACTCATACAGGGAAGCTGGCACGGCCAGGGTCACGGACGGGAGGTAGAATGCTGGTGAGCAGAGCCAGGAGAGTGGGGGCGGAGAAGGGGAGTTGGTGTTCTGTGGGCACAGAGCTTCAGTTTGGGATGAAAAAGTTCTGAAATGGATCACGGTGATGGTTACACAACGATGTGAATGTATTTAATGTCTCTGAATTTTACACCTAAAATGGTTAAAATGGCGGGGCATGGTGGCGCACGCCTGTAATCCCAGCACTCAGGAGGCTGAGGCAGGAGGACTGTTGCAAGTCTAAGACCAGCCTGGGCTACACAGTGAGCTCAAGGCCAGCCTGAACTGCATAGCGAGACTCTGTCTCAAAGACAAAAAGACCAAAAAAAAAAAAAAAAAGGTTAAAATGGTAAAACTTATGTTTTGAATATTTTACCGCAGAGTTATAAAAACAAAATATGAAAAGTAGAGAATTACAGGGTTGTTAAAATCTACTTCCCAAAAGAAAGCAACCAGGATTCCAGGTCGGCTGAGGCACAAATAGCTATGGAAAGAAAGGCAGGATGGATGGCCAGGCTAGAGGACATGATCTGTGTATCCCAATTTCTAGGACACAGTGCGTGTTCAGGATTCTTTGTTACACTGCTAGTGACTGCAAGCAGGGGCTGTAGTGACTTCCGGGGCAGTGAGGATGTGTGTCCAACTAGCCACCAATGCTCCTTTTGTGCACAAATATTTTGAGGTCAAGAGCTTTGCCTGACCCTTTGTAGCCGGGTCCTACAAGTTATTTACGGTGTAGTTATTGAGTGCAGGTCAAAGCTTGATTTGGTTTACATAAATGAAGAACAGATTTTGGGGGGCAGCACTGAGGATTGAACCCAAGCCTCCTAAATGCTAGGCAATAGCTCTACCCCTGAGCTACATCCCCACCCCTCAGATGTCCTCCCAAAACTGCACCGTCTGACTGGAATGAAGTGAGATTAAAAACACCAAGACACAGGCAAACCACTACTCTTAATACAAGCAGGACACAAAAGGCTTGAAAACTCTCCCTGAATGCTATAATTTATTTTCCCTGGTCTACAGTCGTGGTGCGCCGAACGTTACGTTCGTGGGAGGCAGGGGAAGTTCAGTTTTCCCTTTATTCCAACTCAGTCATGGCGAACCTCTGACAGCTTTCAATGACGACACACAGCTGGCTGCGCACGGGTGGCACAGGTTCACCACCACCATTCTAAGTCATTCTGGGAAGTGGCATTTTACCTGTCAAGTTCCTCAACTCTCAGAAGGATGTAATAAGGGGTAAGCACAATACTTTGTAGTTCAGAGAGACACTGGGTTTATTTGGAATAAAAATACACTAGAAAAAAATGGCTGTTTCTTTTACCAATTTTTTGAAAACCCTTCTTTTTGTGAATAAATTTGCTACAGGAGGAAATCTAAGGGAAGGCATTACCAGTCTCACAGATCTTCCCTGATAATTTTGCTAATCTAACATCTAACAAGCAAGCTGATAAATTTAATTATCCAAGAAATTTTATTACCTGGGTTTCACATATCTGCCACCTATGGATCAGTATCATTTTAATATATGATACATTGGGACAGTAAAGAATCGTATCTTGCATTTATGATTTAACAACCTATATTTAAAAATTAGGATTTGTGCTTGTGTAACTATGATGTTAAGGGCAATTAGAAACCAAAGAGATTGACATTTATAAAAGCGTGTTTCAGGAAAGGACTTAAGCCCTTTCCAACTCTTTTATAAACTGAGGTACATACAATTACTTTAAAGAGAAATAAGTTTCTTCCAAATTTCACTCCAGATTACGTCAAAGGCAAAATATCCAGCAATCTTTAGACTTTTACCTTCCCAAATTTCAGATGGATTGCTTTTCAGAATGATTTTTGCAAATGATTGTATGAAATCATCTAGTGACAAAAAGCTGAATGTTTACATTCTTCTGAATTTTATGTATTAACGTAGTATTCCAGGGTTCACCACACTGAGCAGAAGGGAATCATTCACTTCCATCGTCCACGTATTGCATAAATAAAGCAAAAACCAGAATTTTCTTTATGGTCAATACTGTTGACCCCGCATCAGGATTAATGCTAAGGACACAACTGTCTGCATCTCAGGTAGAAAGTGTGTTTTGCAGTTGCAACAGCATTTCAAAGAGTTTTCAGTTTGTCTCTGTCCTGCTCTTTCTGACTGCAGAGTGCAAAGGATTCCTGCACAAACTGCCTGCACATCGGGCACTGCTGGAAATACCTGACGCAGGCATCACACAGGCACGCGTGCCGGCAGGGCAGGAGCACCCAGTTCACGCTCCCGTTCTGGCACACCACGCAGTCCTTGCTGGTCTCCTCCGCTGGCTCCGCCTCGCTCTCACACAGTCCGGCCTTTTCCAGCAAACTGCGGTCCACGTTCTTTTCCTCTGGTGAGGGATTGCTGGAGGGAGTGGAATTATTACTTGCAGACATGAAAAGTTGCTGGAAAAGAAAGTGTAAAGATAATTATAAATAACAATTACACTTTAAGTCTGGGGGTCCTAAGAACTACATAAAATTTATGAGCTAGCAAGTCCAAGAGCAAAGAACAGTTACTTCATAGTCACTGAAGAGTATAGTTACTGCTTTATAAACACCCATTCTTTGAAACTCTGTAAACAAAAGAGATAGAATAAGGTACAACTTACCTTAAGATCATGAAATTGACCCTGAGCCAGGAGTAAATATTGATACAATATTCTGCAGGGAAGTTTATAAGTCTTATCAGGAATATGAATTACTGATACCATGGAAATCTAAAATAAAAATTGAACACTAGTCAGTACTTAAGCTTCTTATATTATTTCACAAACATTAAAAAATACTTCAATAAAAATAAGAGACCAATATAATTGGGAATGCTTGTGGTTTATATGAAACCACAGAAAAATTTTTAAAAACCTAAGCACCACAAAGAAAATGCATGTGTACACATTTTGCAAAGATACCCATGCCCTAGAGAAAAAAACAGTCGAAGTCTGAAAGGCAGCTGGCCCTGATGGACTACCTTCATGTGATGGCCCATAATTGATCCTTGTAATATCTTCTCATATGTCAAATTTTTAATTAAACATTATCTTTCAATTTTTCCCATTATTTTAAATTGTCAGCATGATTCTTACAATTAGCTATGCTGTTTTCACCTTCACATTACTTCCAATACCAGAGGTACAAACCGTGTAAAGCCTTTCGGAGAGTTCTAATTATTTATGTATTTTTCACAAACTGGAGTCCATGGACGTGAACACTGACTTTGTGAATGAAAGTACTGTGTACAGAAATGTTGAAACTTCTCAATAAAGATGAAATGTCCTTTATGCACATCTGCATTTGTGAGCAATAAAATTTCTTGAGTTCTCAGCTGTTTGGAAAAATGCATACAGTAGGGCCCATTAGGGCTTTTTTTTTTTTTTTTTTTCTTCTGGTACCAGGAATCGAACTCACGACCTTGCGCTTGCCAGGCAGGTGCTGTGCCACTGAGCTAAATCCCCAGCCCAAAATATTTCCCTTTTTTCTCCCTGGTACCGGGAATCGAACTCAGGATGTTGTGCTTGCCGAAAGGCGTTTATGCCCCAGCTCATCAGGGCTTTTGATCCCTCTCATCACAGGACGGAGGTACTGGTCAGGGTACTCAGATGAACAGCAATAAAAAGGCAGTACCCACACTTACCACTGATAGTGGTATGTCTTTGGACAGTTTGCTTTGTGACCTCTTTCTCTCTGAATATAGCCTGTGTGCTTAGAATTGTTACACCTGTCAAAAGCTATTCGTATATTTCAGGGCTTATGGTTGCAAAAATATGTAGGGGAAAACGGCTTGATGATTGGTTGATGAATTCTCACACTCAGACACTCATCATGAAAAGAAATCATGAACAAGACAGCCAAGAAATCTGGGGCACAGTTAAAAGACCAAATATATGAATGTTTAGTGTACAACAGGGTGCAGAGGTTCAAACTAGTGGCACAGAAAATCTACTCAATGAAATAACAAATCTTCCCATGTCTTGTAAAAGATAGGACATCTAAGTTCAGGAGGGATTCAGAACCCCCAAACAGGCACGAGCTAGGTCAGATTCTGGTTAAAAGGTCAAGAGTACAGAACAAGGAGAGAATATTGAAAGCTGTGAGACAGAAACGCCGCGTCACTTATGGTGGTGAACCCAGCAGAACAACTGCAGACTTCTGTGCAGAAACTCTAAGGCCAGGAGGCCATGAAATGATGTACTTAAGCCCTGAAGGAAAATAACTGTCAGGCCAGACTGCTATACCCACCAAAGCTATTCTTTAAGACTGAAGGAGAAATAAACATCTTCCAAGATAAGCATCAATGAAATAAATTCATGACTACTAAGCCAGCATTGCAGACCATACTTCAAAGAACCCTACATACAGATGAGAAAGAGTAATTAAGGTATTGAGAATTAGAAATAATTAGACATTAGAAAAATGTAAGACACCTGAATCTCTGGGATACAGCCGAGGGAAGTTACAGCTGTGAGGGCCTGTATCAAAAAATCAAAGCGAAGTCAAGTAAATAACCTAGTAATACATTCTGAAGTCTTAGGAAAACAAGAACAAATGAAAGCCAAACCTGGCAGAAGGAAGGAAATAATCAAGATAAGAATGAAAATTAATCACACAGAGAGTAAAAAAGCAATACAAAGGATCAGTGAAACAGTGTCGGATCTTTGAAGAGATAACCAAAACTAATAAAGCCTTAGCCAAAGAAAAAGACAGAGGAGACCCAAATAAACACAATTAGTGATGGAAAAGTGAGATGCTACAACAGACAGCATTGAAACTCTGAGAAGCATTAGGGACTACTTTAAAAGCCTACATTCTAATAAACAGGAGAATCTAGAGGAAACTGACAAATTTCTAGACACATAAGACCTACCAGAATTGAGCCAACAACACACAAAAAACCTAAACAGATCAGTAACGAGCAATGAGACTGAAGTAGTAATAAAAAGTCTACCCCCAAAGAAAGCTCCAGGATGGATTCACCGCTGAATTTTACCAGACATTTAAGGAAGGACACCAATGCTCTGCAAACTACTCCAAGTGATAGAAAACTCATTCTATGAGGCCAATATTATCTTGGTAACAAAACTGGACAAGGACATTACAAAGTAAGAGAAAACTACAGACCAATATCCAAAATGAATGTAGATGCAAAAACTCTTAATAAAATACAAATTGGATTCAACAACAAATTAAAAAGCTCATACACCATAATCAAGTTGGTTTCACCCCAGGGATATAAGGATGGTTTGACATATGCAAATCAATAAACATAACAAGCCACATAAATAGAATGAAGGGTAAAAATCACATACTGATCTCAATTGATGCACAGCCTTTGACAAAATTCAACATCCTTCCAAATTCAACATTCTTTCCTGAAGAAAACAAGAACCAAAGGACTGTACTTCAGTTTAATATGCTACCTACAGCAAACCCACAACCTATATCATACTAAATGGGGAAAAACTAGAAGCATTTCCTCTGAAATCAGGAACAAGACAAGGATGTTTGTCCACTCTCATTACTCCTATTCAGTACAGTACTTGAAACTTTAGCTGGAGCAATTAGGTAAGAGAAAGAAATACAAAGGATACAAATAAGCAAGAAAGAAGCTACTGCAGATGATATGATCCTTAATAAACCCTAAAGACTCCACCAAAAGACTTGTCAAGCTGATCAATTCAGCAAAGTAGCAGGATACAAAATCAATATTTTAAAAATCTGTGGCTTTTCTATACACAAGAAATGAACTAGCTGAGAAAGAAATCCAGGAAACAGTTCCACTCACAATAGCTTCAGAAAAAATAAATAAGGAAAATACTTAAGAATCAACCTACGTAACAAAGAGTGCTAAGAAAACTGGATATCCAGCTCTAAGGAGTTGAAAGACGTCCACAATGAAAATTACAGAACACTGAAGAAAGAAACTGAATGCATTAGAAGACAGAAAGACTTCCCACATTCCTGAATCGGCAGAATTAATATTGTGAAAATGGCCACATTACTGAAAGCAATCTATAGGTTCAGTACAATCCCTATCAAAATTCCAATGATATTCTTCACAGAATTAGAAAAAACAATCCTAAAATTTAAATGGAAATACAAAAGAGCCAGAAGAGACAAAGCAATTCAACACAAACAGAGCAAGCTAGAGGCACCACAATACTCAATTTCAAATTATACTACAAAGCCCCAGTAGCACAAACAGCATAGCATGGGCATAAAAGTATACATGTAGACCAACAGAATAGAATGGAGCACACAGAAACAAACAACTGCAGCCACCTGATTCCTGACAGAGGAGCCAAAAAGGAGTGTTGGGGAAAAGTCAGCCTCTTTAACATACAGTGCTGGGAAAAGTGGATACCCAAATGTGGAAGGTTGAAACTAGATCTCTATCTCTCACCCTGTACTAAAATCAATTCAAAATGGACCAAAGACCTCGGTATGAGACCTGAACCTTTGAAACTACTAGAAGACAGAAAGAATACTGGAAGCCACAGTCACAGGCAAAGACTTCCCGAATAGGACCCTTAACAGCATAGGAAACAATAGTAAGAATCAACAAAAGGGACTACATGAAACTTAAAAGTTTCTGCACAGCAAGGGAAACAACCAACAGAGCAGAAAGAGCCATAAAAGGCTGTGGAAATGTTGCAGGTTAAAGGAGGCTAAAGATAAACAACAAATATAAAACCTGATTGTGGACTGGAATCTGTCCTCGAGAGGAAAATACCGACACAGGCAACAGGTTGGATAAACTGTGACAGCAATGCTAAACTGTACCGTGGTTATATACAAGAACATCCTTATTTGGAAACATACACTGAGGTATTTAGGGATGAAGAGTCATCAGGCATATAACTTATTCTCATATCATTCACTTACAAATACGAGAACACAGGATGTTAATACAGATATGGAAATAATAATATTGCAAATGGCAGAAATGTTAATGACTAACAGGTGATGGGGATTATCTCAGTTTTAGTTTTTGCAACTTTTTGGAATTATATACAAATAAAGGTTTAAAGCCTATTGTGGTTGTAAAAACACAATTATTATTTAAAGGTTGTGAGTATTTATTAATTTAGTCATGGCTTAAGAGGTTTTTTTTTTTTTTTCTTTTTGAGACAGGTCTCACTATGCAGTTCAGGCTGGTCTTGAATTCTTGAGTTTACTTTGTAGCCCAGGCTGGCCTCGAACTCACAACGATCCTCCTGCCTCAGCCTCCTGAGTGCTGGGGGTGGGGGCATGCACCACCATGCCCAGCTTAAGAGGCTTTTAATGCTGAAGCAAAACAGGACTGGCAGAGGGCAGTCTAACAAGCCTGCAGGGGGGTTTGGTGTGTTCGTGAAATTCCTGTCACACTGGTCATCCGCAGGCAGCTGCCCCTGCCGCAAAGATGCTGAGACACCACTACTAGTGAAAGCAGGTTACAAAACAGAATGGACAACCTGACATTTAACAAAAGTACGTGTGGAACTGTCTGGAAAGACCCAGGCAAATGCAGTTGCCTTTGGGTAACAGGACACAGGTGGTTTACTTTTCTCTTTTAGTCTATCTAGATTTTCTTATTTTTTTCTGCCACAAATGTGTTCTTTAAATAATACAGAAGAAAAACCCTAATGTAACTCAGTAAAAAATTTTAAATCAAAATCTTATAACAGTTCTTGCTTTTCATTCTTTATTTAAACAACAAACTGGCTCCTAACTAGACTAGGTAATTCTTTCCTGTTACAATGGAAATGGAAGCGTTATTTTTTCTTTCATTTTGATCTAGAGTGTATGACCCCACCATAAAATGCTGGCAAACCACATATGAAGAACAAATATGAAATAGTTTATGTTAAAAATTGTGAACTGGACATAGTGGCGCACTGGGGAGGCTGAGGCAGGAGAATCACTGAGTTCAAGGCAACCTGGGCTACAGAGAGAGTTCAAGGCCAGCCTGAACTACACAGTGAAACCCTGTCTCAAAAAAATTTTTTTAACTAAAAAAATTAAAATTATGAACAGAGAACAGGAATGCAAAGTACACCAACAAATACGCTTCGGCACAAATGCTAGCCCAAGCTCGGAGGTTAAAGACAAGCAAAGATCAACAGGAAAAGGCAAGGGAGCACAGAGATTCGAATAAGACACAGATGGGACGCAGACAGCGAAACATGCAGAGGACAGGAGCCAGGCGCCGGGCCGTGAGAACAAGCTCGCACAGGGACAGGCCGGCCGCGGCATCTCTGTGGCAGTGCAGCTGCGCAGACCCTCCCGTCTGCGCCCCGGAACCCTACCCGACAAAGTTTAAAGGGGTAAGTGTTCTGGAATAGTTTTCCACGCCCAGAATTAGCTTTTCCTGTTCAGATACAGGAAGAAAGTTAGACAACCAGAAGAAGCCCTGAGCTTGTAAAGGGACGGCGGGCACCTGAGAGAGGACCCAGGAAGCCCGGGGGAAGCGATCTGACCCTGCTGATGCAATACACAGAGAAGCAGAGAACTGGAGGCCAAGGGACCCAGGAGCGACAGACACAGCGTGGGACGGGTGGCTTTGGCAGGTGAGGGACGAAGAGCATGGAAATGTGCAGTGCCAACGCAGCGGGTCTCATTCATCCGAGCTGAAAGGGAGGGAGGGAACAAGGCAGGAAAGGCGGCTTTCTCCTCCTCACCGCCACACGCGCACTGCTGCGGAGTCCCTGCTGCCAGGTCTCAGGAGAGGCGCTAACACTGCTTGCAACGATTCTTTTCTCCCACTTGCCTGACCTTAACTGAACCTCTGCTGTGTGCCAGGTAACGTACTCCTGTTGCTGTGAGCTCTTCAAAGACTGCGTGCCTTGAAGGTATTCAGCATGCTTTGATATTCACATACTATCCATGGTGAAAGCGTTACTACAGTCAAGCAAAAGAACGTAGCCATCACGTCACCATTACCCTTTCCCTGGGGCGAGAGCACTTCATCTTCTAGTGAAAGAACCCAGACAACATTACTAACCGCAGTCTCATATTGTGGAAAGCTCTACACTTGCTTATCTTACTACCTGCAACTTTTTACCCTTGACCTGCATATCTCCGTTTCTCCCCTCCCGCCCCCATAACTGTTAATTCAGACACAATCTCTCTGCAGAGTCCAGGCTGGCCTTGAACTCACTCTGTAGCCCAGGCTAACATTGAAGGCAAGGCAATTCTCCTGCCTCAGCCTCCCAAGTGTGGGGTGACAGGTGTGTGTGTGCCACCACTCCCACCTTTCATAACTCTTAATTGAAAAAAAATTGAAAAGCTGACTTCAGCTCCACAGATCTTCAGTTTGACAATTTAAAAAAACAATCACGCCTCAGATAAATCTCATTGGCTACGATACTGCCACTGTGCAAAGCTGTTCTTTTAAAAGAAGTTAGGGACGAACTTGGGATGCAGTTTAGTGGTAGAACATCTGCCCAGCGTGAGGCTGGGGTTTGATCTCCAGTAGTGAACAAATTAAGGAAACAGCTGGGATTTTTGACTCTGCATCAGCTTCTATAAGGGCATTTGCCCTAACACTCTAGATTGTTGGAAGGAAAAAGTAAGCAAATATTAGTGAATGTACTTTATACATTACACAAGTTCATGAAATTGTTACTGTATTTTTATCAATGAGCATGTCTATATGAAGCACTTCAAAACTGTAGTAAATTGTGTATAAGGGTATTATTACACTGATAGATTATTACAATTTCACCACAAGTTTATTTCATGTACAGGATGTAACTAAAATGCTTAAGACCATATGTGCTTTGGACTTTGGATAGTTTTCAGATTTGAGAATTTTGTATGTATATAAAGATGTCCTGGGATGGGGCCCAAGTCCAACTGTGAAACTCATTTCCGTCTCGAACATACTTTATACACAGAGCCTGAAGAGCATTTTATCCACTATTTTAGTATACATGAATTTAACTGTGACGGTCCACACACAGTCAGGTGTGGAAATTTCTACTTGCAACAAAAGTCAGTGCTCAAAACATTTCAATTCTTGAAGTATTTTGAATGGTGCAGTTTTAGACCAGTTATGCTCATCCTGTAAAAATTCCCACCATCCTTAGATGCTTGCCAAGGCTCAAGTCCTCTTCAAGCGCTAAGATGCTTTTATCTTCCTAGCAGGGTTCACCTACCAGACTAAGGCATCATTAGCACATAACGAGAAAACGAAGTCACTGCAATTACTGAGAACGTAGGGACCAGACACACAGCGAGCGGCAGGACACTGAGGAAGCAGAGTGACTACAACTACCCAGAGGAAAATGGAGCTCTCTGGGTCACCACGGTGCTTAATTATTCCGTACTAAACTGTTAATAAACATTTCCCAACAGATTTCTTCCATACAGCAAATTAACAGGATACAGACAGAGACACTTAACTTAATTCAATAATAATGTATCTTTTATTTTCTAAATAAAGTCATAGTCTGATGACCCATAAAGAAAAACAGCTCATACCCTGAGGGTGCTGTTACACGTATAAAAACCACAATGGCACACATCCTATATTATTACTTATCAAGAAAAATGTGGCCAGGATGAATGCATATCTTCAGCAATTAAAATAATTTTTCTACTTTAAAAAAATAATGAAGAACCGCCAGTTAAAGGTAATGCTTTCAGAAGCTTTAAATTACTTACAATATCATAAACTTCTCGGTCATCCTCATCAGCTAACGTCAACAGCGCCACTAACGGGTAACGAGATCTGGGCACTGTCCCGAAGTCCTCAATTTTAGTGTCTCTTGGTAACTGGCAATATATTTCTTCTCTGCTGTCCTTTTTAATACTTTTTGAAAATGTAAAGGCAAATCGCCACTATAGCCAAAGGATAAAAATATACCAAAAATAAGGAATAACTCAGTAACATTTCATTGTACCATCAGAAGTCTGGTTCTCACAGGCTAATGGTGGTATTAGGTCAAAGGATACAGATACTGCTCTTGGTGGAGATACTCGCTGTACAGGGCATCTTCTAAGGCCTGGGGGGTGCTGATTCGGAAGCAGTACATGTGCTTCTGCAGGGCTTCATACACTTTTTGGACACTGCAGCCCCAGTAGCATGTAAGGCGACAGTCTTCAAGGCAATCTGTTGTCAAGGTTATGCCAGCTGCAGGAAACAGAGCAGGAGAATGGGAATCGCCTTGTGTACTAGAGGTGCCACTCCGCAGGGTGAGAACCATGAGCGTCTTTTCGGGTGCGGGCATGCTGCCCGTGGCTATGGGGACAGCTGACAGGTGTGGGCTATGTACCTAGAAATGAGGGCGGCTGCCTCTTTCACTAGCTGTTTAATTTTTGTGCTCTATCTTTCTTCCTCCTATGTGTTAAGCCTAGAATTTATCAGTTGGATCTTCCTTTTTGGTGACTCCAAGATGCGTCCCGCTCTCACAGTGCAGAGAGCCCGAGTGACAAGAAGCAGGGCAGCAGGGCACAGTGGTCTCCAAAAGCGGACACACGGAACCCACGGGCTGCAGAAGAGGATCACGAGGGAGGAAAAATATTAAAAAGAAACTGAGTTTCACTAATATTAATAAACACATCTGTACCATTTAATAGTCTGTCACATAGTTAATGTCCCATGTAATATGCAAAATAGCCTGAGGAAGGAGTGCAGATTCCAAAACTGAGGTGGTTTCATAGCAATATCCTTGTTGTTTGTTTTTAATGGAAGAATGCAATTTAAATACGTTGAAAAGTAAATATATTAATTGTAAACAGACATGCAAATTATATAGTTATTTACTTTGCATTTATATAGGACCAGGTAGGTGTTACCAATGTGGTGTTTTCTCCTCACTCGCGGCAACTATACATTATCAAGTTCAAGGACAGCGATGCCCAGGACATCCGTGTTCCACACTGTGGCCGAGGCGAAGGACACTAGACCACGGAGCACACAGTTTTGGGCATTGTTCCCCGCTGAGGAGTCTGGCTTCTCTGTTTCTCTAAACCTACCAGCAATTCTACGAGCTACTCAGTATCATTTCATTGGAATCTTTTCCGTTACTCGCTAAGAAATTCTGACTGACACATTACTCATTTTTTAAAAATGTGATCAAAAGTACGTGTGTGGAGCAGACGCATGTGTAAGCGAACGCTGCACAAGATCCTAAACCTTGACTTTATCTTTTCTCAGTATTCAGTGGTATGAAAACAGGGTCCAAGATTCTGGGTACGCACAGCACCAGTGCCGTGGCCATTTCTAATTAGTTGGGGGAAATTTTTAATTGGTGGAAGTTCTACATAAGTAGTTGAAGCAGAATTTGATTTCAAGTTTTTATATGATTCTAATCATCAGGCATTCATTCAAGAATAGAAAGTTCCACTAGCTATTACACAGCTGGAAAAACACTCTGTCTATACAAATTTATATACAAACACATAAAATCACACTGATTCTTCTGTATCACTGCAGACCCTCCCCAACATGAGACAGGAGAAAAAGTTGGATGTAGATAGGAAAAAGAAAAATAGAAAAAACACATGAAAAAGGGGGAAAAAATAAACCCAAAAAGTAATTAATATTATTGTCCTACTGACAAAAATGTGGAAAGATTATGTATTGTAGGGTAGACCATCACAGCAAAGTGTTAGAATCAACCCTGGGGCCCATCAGTAGGGATTATATGAATAAACACTGTACAGGAAGTACTCTCCCGCTATTAAGCAAGAATTGAGGCATGCAGGGGATGCCGCTCAGTAGTAGAGCACTTGCCCTGGGTGTGCAAGGCACTGGGTTTGAGGTCCAGCACCACAAAAATACATATACACGTACATACATTTTTTTTAGGCTGGTCCCGGTAGCACATGGCTATAATACCAGCCACTCAGGTGGCTGAGCCAGGAGGATTCCAAGTAGAACCCAGCACTTGCTTTTAGCATATGGGTGGCCCTGGGTTCAAAGCCCACTACCACCAAAAAAATTTTGTGAAGCATACTGGAATAGGCATATGTACTAATATAAAATGATCTTCAGAATACATTATTAAATGCAAAAGCAAGGTAGAGAAAAGTACACAGACATACACATATATATGTATGTATGATAGCACTGTTTATCTCGTAAGAGGATACCCATACATATTTGTTCACATTTGAAAAGAACACCGGGGGCCAAAGGTGTAACTTGGTGTTAGAACAGCCGCCTAGCATTGCGGGCTTTCATGGGGGGGTGAGGTGGGGGAGGCCAGACAAAAGCCTTAAAAAATAAACTCAACTTACAAAACTTACACAACTACCAAGTTAACTTGCTTTGTAAAAAACCAGAGCTCAAAAAAGAGCCTAGAGACTCATAAAACAAGCATAAAACACTTGTTTACAGACTTTGTATATTTGACTGGAAGGACATGCCTGAGACCTTTGACAATGGCATATGAATAGACATGTGCCTCTTAAAATAATATCAGAAATAAAAATAAAATAAAATAAAATAAAATAAAATAATATCAGAAGTTAATAAAAAGAACTATAGGAAATCTTTTTTTTTTTTTTTTTTTTTTGGTGCAGAGAGTCAAACTCAGGACCTTGCGTTTGCCAGGCAGGCACTGTACCAATGAGCTGTAGCCCCAGCTAAAAAGAACTATCAAATTTTCTTCTCTATATTCTTTCACAAGTTTGACCCTATTACAGAAAAGAATTATTGACTGATACCATCTGACAGTAGTTGAAATACTCCTATGCAAGACTACTCCCTCCTTAGTTTTCTCCACTTCTTCTGCAGAGTTCCCCACTTTTACATTATCTTAGTCTTCTAAATTCCAGTGCTCACACAAAACTATCTTTGGTCAATACCAGAATTGGGACATAATTGTAAAGCAGAAAATTTAGAATCAAAATTAAGTGAAGAAAATAGTGCAACTTCTCTCAACCTGCTCTTATTCAGCAGAGCTGCAACAGGGAAATAAAGCAAAGTATGAGACAATTTTGTAAAAAGCTGAAAAATTTTGTAGAGTATAAGTCTAATGCACTGTGTCAAAAAAATAAAAAGAAACAAACAAGTGGACAGGAAAGCCACAAATCTTCTTGAGGAAGAACCCCTCAAGAAGTGAGAGGGGTAATGTGTAGGAGACCATGCATAACGATAATAAGGATGAGGCTTTAGACTGTGGGAAGGGAATTCCACAGACTCCTCCCAGAATGCTGTGCGCAGCAGTCTGCCCAATTCTCCAGCTCTATGTTAGCTCTTATTATGGGAAATAAGCTAAAAATTTAAAAAAGCTGTTTACAAAATGACAGAATTTCTGAACCAAATTAATTCAACTCAACAAATACATATCAAACACCAAAATTTTATTAAATCCTCTATACTGGTAACACAGAAACACAAATCCAAAACACAGCATCAATATATAACAATAAAAAATATCCAATAACCTACTCCTAGTAAACAACTAAGTAACTAAAATTAAAACTGATTCTCTCCTTTGTTTTCAAGTTAAATCAGGTTTCTAGATGTTTTCCCCTTTCTGCCTTATGTCAGATACTTTGGGGAGAGTGGTTAAAAAAATCCTGAATTACTAAACTATCTATATATCAAATGAAAGAACCTTTTAAAATGTCACAAATATTGTCACAAGATTATCTCAGCATCCTGTGTAGACATCTTTAATGACACCCCTCCTTTCCACAGATAAAACAAATGAATTTTTATTCTGTTAAGTACAGCTCCCACCAAAATCCTTATTTTCCCTATAGAAGATAGATAATAAATAATAAGCATTGGCATTTTAAGGTGCAGTTCTTCAGTAATCATGCCAAAGTGCACACATTGAAAAAAATGTCTGCATGTGCTTAAGTAATACTACATCTAGCGTGTGGGCACAGCTGGGAGGTCTATGTGTGGGGCTGGCTCTGCCTGGGACTACCTCTGCCGACTGACGCGTTTCTGGACACTCTGCAGCTCACAGGTGTCCCGTGTTTTGCTTACACTGTAGCAGCTCTCATCACTTCTGCAGTATTGGCAGGCTGTGGAACTGTACCATAGGAAGGACGCCTCCTGGTCATAGGTATGTTCGTTTGCAGTCCTGCTCACTGGCCACATGCGACCCTGTCGAAGTTCAGGTCCAGAGCTGCAGAGGTGGAGCTGAACCATCACCATTCTGTATTTATCAAGTATGCAGAGCTGGCTGTACTCTCAACAAATTAGTGTTCTCTATGTCCTATCCTAACAGTTACTTTCCTGAGATGCAAAATGTCAGAATGAAGTCTTCTCATCTATTTACTAATGAGTAAAAAACATCCTGGTTCTTTCAATTCATGGTACATTATTTACACCCAGTGCAAATAATGTTAGGGAGGAAGAATGTGACATTTTGTACTTTTTTTCTTTTAAATCAAGCTTTACTCAAGGTTAACTATCAACAGTGACTAAACTGATTTCTGACAGGAAGTCAAGAGTCATGGGGACTACATGTTAAGAACATTCTCGTTGCAAACTTTCACAGATGCAAACAGACCTCACATTATGAACATTTGTAGATTCAAACAAATCGTGGAAGTAGCTCAGGTGTCTGCCGGACACTGTCACGGTTGTGTGCTTACTGCAATAGTGTACAGTAGTAGAACCCAGGATGTCCGGGAGCAAGAGGAAAAGCAGCGGCGATGTGGAGGGGACTGTTAGGAAGCGCAAAGCAGTAACCATGGAAACAAAAGTAAAAATAACTGAGAGATTGAACTGAGGGGAAAAGATGGTAGATATTGCTTGTTTTCTTTTTAAATTATTTTTTTTAGGTACTGGGAATGGAACTCAGGACCTTGTGCTTGCCAGGCAGGCACCTGTGCCACTAAGTTGTATCTCCAGCCCCTGCTTGTTCTTTTAATACGAATTGTTCAACCCCTGGCATTATTCTAAAGAACAAGGACAAGATCATAGGACATGTGAAGTTTTTTATGCTTTATGCTGTGTATTTGTGTCAAAAGTGTGTAAGACTCACTTTGTTGGGCTTATAAACCACTCTGACTTATCAACCAAGTTGGGGGCTCACTGTACTAGGTAAGAATGGGTTGCAGACCTGGGCATGGTGGCCTGTAATCCAAGAACTCTGGGAGGCTGAGGCAGAAAGATCATCATCCGAGTCACTAAGAAACTTAGTGAGATCCTGTGTAAAAATAAAAGATTTTAAAAGGGCTGCGGATGTAGTTCAGAGCAAATGCCCTGGGGTCAATCCCCAATTCTATAAAAACAAAACAAAACTGGTCCACAGAAGTCAGGGGGTATGACTCATCAACTCTGCCAAACACCAAGAGATCACATCAACTCGGGCCTGAGAAGCTTCCATGAATGTGATGACCACTGGCAATCTGAGGTCAGGGACAGAGATAGTAATCACGGATCTTGAGAAGCCATTTCAGTACAGGGTTATAAGGAAAGTCATTGCACTGCTCAAAGGAGTAAAAGGGAACAGAAGAGCAGAAAGTGAATGCAACTAGCTTTTATTTTAAGAGAATGGCTGAGAAGGTGTTATGACTTGTGTCTAGATGTTCCCCTAAAGCCTCATGTGATCATAAGTTTGGCTTTTTCAGAGGTGGCCGGATCTAGAATGGGTGAAGCCGGAACTGATTCATGGTGTGATGCTAGGATCAAGGGCACTAGCGGTAAGACAGCGAGTGCTGCCTGCCCTAAGTAGCCTGGATAAGATGTAAGGGACAGAAAAAGCTGTTTACCCCTTGTTGCTTTGCTGCCTTCCGCCCACCATGAACTGTTTCTCCTCTGTGATGCCCCTCTGCCATGCCATTTTGTCTTCGAGCCAGCTGATTGTGGACTGAAACCTCTACAAACTGTGAGCTAAATCAACCTTTTCTCCTTTAACTTTGGATGTTGGGTATTGTCACAGCAACACGAAAAGTAACTAAGATAGAAGGAAAGAAGAAAAACAGGGCAGTAGCTAGAATAATCTGCTTGTAAGATACTGAAAGGTGACAAGAATAAAAGGTGCACGTCTCAGTCCAGAGCCTTTTAGAGGCTACAGAACTGTACTTAGAACACCCTACTCTCAACTCCACTGGACGCATCCAACGGCATTCTGGAGGCTACAAGTTCAAAACTGCACACTTTCTTCCAACCCTGCCATTCCCCGTTTTCCTTAGCTCTGGAGCAGGATCTCCCTATAGAGACCAAGGGAGAAACCGAGTCTCCAGAGGCTAATCTCTCACCCATCCCACCCTGTGTATTCCCAACAAGCGACTTCTTGTTTCTCTCACATACTATACTGTTTCTCAACTACCTCTAAACTTTGTTCCTGCTTCTCCCGCTACCTAGAAGTTTCTCAAACCTCAGGTAAACACCTACTTATCTTTTAATCAACAGGACTCCAAAAAAAGGAAAAAGAAAGAAGGAAAACAATTTTTAAAAAAAGCCTTAGCGTATTCTTTTCTATGAAGTCTTTCCTGAGTAGATCTCTTCACTTCAGCAAATGCAACCATTTCTTTCTTTATAATTCCCTACAATGGTTCCTCAATCGTCCTCTCAAAAATTTATTTTTTCAAGTAAAATACAGAAACAACTGCCATCCATTATTATCAGCTACAAAAATAACATTTATATGAAAAAAATTGTACCAAAACACCATAATTTCAGATTAAAAAATCACTGTTCTTCAGAGTACAGCAACCTCACGTTAATTGTCGATAACTGTCATTTCTCACTTAACTGAAGACCAATAGGAATGGCAGTGTCCTAACAGACGTCTCTGGTTAATACTGGTGATACTTCATCCTTCTCTTGTGTATGAGTATGTGCCTGTTTATTAGCTGATAAATTCCTTAGAACAAAATTGTTAAATTCTTAATCTATATATCTGCAGTATTCAGTCTAGACCCTGGAAAAAAACAGGTGCTCAGTAAATGTCTGATAAAAGTTTAAAGAGAAAGCAACAGAGAAAGAAAAATGAGGCTAAACGGGGTGCACAGTAAGAGGAAACCCTTGTAAAATACCACCAACTTGTAATTGAAGCTGTGGATGGATTAGTGATCTCCAAGCCAAAAGGATTCTTCACTTGTCTCATTTGCTTTTTGAAAACTCTTGTGCTGAACTGGGTCTCTTCTGAATTTCTCAGAATTACTGGAACATCCCAGCCAAACCTGAAGAAAGGAAAAAATAAAACATAATTTTAGCAAGTACTGAAACTTTATGCCAGCTTGTAACTCATTAACTATTCTTTTAACCTGTCAGAGAAAGAGGTTAAGGTACTCAATTTACACTATTTTAGTAAATCAATTTAGAATTCTGAAAAATTTAAGGTCCCATATAATTGCAATATATTGTTCACGTGGCTGAATTGACATACTCTTAAAACCAAAGACATAATTCTTAATATTAGCAATAACAAGAAAAAAGCATAGTGATTACAAATAATACTTAATATAAAAGCAAACATTATAGAATTTTAAGTACTTTACAAAGATGTTAAAAATATATATTCAATATGATTGGCAATGCAAAAAAATTATTAAAACACCAAACATAGTGCTTCATTTATATATTGTCTACTTTTAAATTTCACATAAAAAGAACTCTAACTGAATAGACTTGAAAGGAAAATGAAACAGACTAAACTCAATTTCCAGTAAAATGAAAAACCAGCTAAGTTCACTCAATTTTAATAAAGTAACCTAAAATGAGTATACACATTGAACTTGGAGACTTCACTTAGGTTCATACTTTGATGAACTTCCTTGTCTCCAAGTACACAGAACTGACAGATGAGAAATAAAAGAAAAATCAAAATGATGCTGTTGAAATAAGTGAATAAGCTGACATATTTGAACGAAGGAATAGTAGTATTAAGTACTGGGGAAAAAAACAATGTTTTGCTATAAGCACCTACGTAAATTTCAAAACATCCTGCTGTGCAAAAGAAGCCTCACATGCAGCATGAGTCCCTACTAGGAAATTTTAAAGTAGGCAAGCAAAACTAACCTAGGGGAGAAATAAAAAGGAGAACAGTGGTAGCTTTTGGAGTGCAGGACCAGGAAAGGACCAGGAAAGAGCATGAGGAAACTTTCCTTGGTAACGGAATCTGTATCTTGATGGAAGTTTGAATTGTGTGCATTATTTGTTTAATGACACTCAGCAAATGGGACCCGTAAGTACTGTACATTTGATTGTATATAAATATCACTTGAAAAGAAAACAAACTATAAACAAAAACAAACACTGGACTGTAGCTAATAATATTCACGCTCCAGAACTTGTGGGTGAAAAGTACAACTTATTTTGAAGTGCATACTGAAACAAGATGGACCGATGGTTGGACAGAAGGATGAAGGAATGGGCAGATATGTAACAAAAATTATAGTAAAATGTTGATGGGAGAATGGGTAAATGTGGGTTCCCTGGACAGTTCTTCCCAGTGCTCTGAATGTTTGAAAATTTTTGTAATGAAATGCTGGGGGAAAAAGAGACACAGCTGGGTGTACGACAAGTGTATGTATGGACCAAAAAATAGAAACATATTAAGTAAGACTGATTCATGTTTGGATAGGCTCTGAGGCTGGTAGTGGGAAAAGGCAACTATGACTTCATGTACCAGGAAGGCAGGAAGGCTGTCCACTCTGGTTCCAGGAACTGGGTTAGGTCAGTGTCAATCTGGGACAGAACCGTCATTGTAAGACCTGGTCCTGAACTGGGGAAGGGTGTCTAAGAATCGGTACAGATCATTATAAAATGTCTAAATAGTGAAGGTAAAGTTAAGGGGAGAAACAACAACAAGAACAAAAAACAACTCTTCACTAAGATTTAAGTTGCAAACTAAAATTTGAAAACATACCAATAAATCTAATGCTAAGAGAAGGCCAAGAAAGTTAACAAATAAAAGAGAAATTCACTCAAAATGATGCATTTAACTTAGGTAGGTAGGGCTGCTCTCTCCCCAAGTAACTTCACTATAACCCAGAACAAAGCTCAAGGATACTTACAGGAATACAGACATGCCCAGCAGCCTATAAGGTAAAATTCACAATGTTCTGCAGTTAATAAAAACAATTAATAGTCACGCAAAGCTGCAGAAAAACGTTACCATAGTGAGGACAGAAACTAACTTATAGAAGTAGATCAGAAACGATGAAGATACTAGAATTAGTAGACGAGGACACCAAAACAGTTGTTACAGCTATAGTCCATATGTTCAAGAAGGTAAGTGAAGATTGAGCACGCATATAGAGACATGGCATATAAAACGCCCCGATCCATTTTTAGAGATGACAAATACAATGTCCGGAGATGAACAACACACTGTGAGGGATGAACAACAAACTACAAACTGCAGAACAAAAAATGAATAAACTCGAAGCCAACACAATTTAGAAAGTACTCAAAATGAAATAGAAAAAAACAGTAAACAAAAATAGACGAAACACGAGTTGCTCAAGGGGCACCTTGAAGCATCATCATATACAGCCAATTGAAGTCTTCACAGTGAGAGCATGGAGCATTTGAGCACATAATTGCCCAATATGTTGAAAACTATGAACGCACAGATCCAAAAATCTCAATAAACTCCAAGCATAACAAACAGAAAATTACACGAAGGCACATAATAATCATACTGCTCAAAAGCAGCAGTAACGGGACACTGCCAGGAGCGAAGGTATCACGAGGACTGGGCAAGGTCTCGCGGGGTTTGAGAGCAGAGCAGTAGGTGGGCCGGGAAGGATGGGGCAGGGCTGCAGCTACCCAGCTATCTTCTGCTAGGGAGGATGTCGGGCTCATTGTTCCCCATCGTCCTGGTCCTTTGGCTGTTGCTGGTCTCTGGCTCCTTCCTCCCAGGGCTAGGCACCACTCAGAATGAGCCAAGGATTGTCAGCAGTGAGGAGGTCATTATTGGAGAGACCCCTGTCCTGGTCACCCGGCAGTGTAACCTCACTTCTGGTTCTCACACCCTTGGACTAAGAAGGGTGGAACTCACTGCCGCTCCTGAGAATGCAGGCAACGCGATCAACAGGCCGAGAGCAGCGGATTCGGGCGAACACCACCGCTGCCTATCATTTTGGTCAGCACTCCCGGCGCAAACGCCACCATCGAAGTGAAAGCAGTTCCTGACATCGCTGGCCACAAACGGCTGAAGAACAAGAAGGAAGGGCAGGATGCCACGAGGTACTGCGCGTCAGCTGGCTGCCCCCACCCGGAGCAGCTGGCACAAGCAGGGGAATGGTACGCCCGAGCCGATGCTTCCGGCCGTCATCCTGGAGGAGACCTACACTCAGTTAAGCATTCTGAATCTCCAGATCACAGAGGACCCCGGAGTACAAATGCCACCTCCATCAGCTCTGCCTCCGTGGTCACCATCCTCGGAGCAGGAAGCCGCCTGGCCTCACTCTGGTTTTTCTTGGGAATTTAGGCAGAAATCATCATCCTTGTGCTGATCCTCGTTGTGTAGGTGAAGAGGAGGAGGCCAGATGAGATTGGTTTTTTTCTTTTGTTTAATCATGTAAATTCTTAAATCCTTCTGCACTGATGTGTTGAACCTTACTCTGGTGCGTTCAATCAAACCAAACTTTCATAATGTACCTTTTTGTTTCCAGTGACCTTGACATGTTAGAGCATGGTTGAGATTCCATGCAACTAATTACACTTTTTGGGTTGACCCTGTACTCTTTCACACTGATGTAAGAGTGGATGGCAGATTTTATAATCTGACCAGGCTCTCATGCAGAATGTAACAGGCACAAGATACATGTCCTCGTATTCTATGTAATTGTTGAAAGAGTGGATTCACCTGTTTTTAACAATAAAACATTTATAAAGGGGGGGGAGGATATCTTAAAAGAAGCCAAAGAAAAAGATATACTACTTACAGAGGAACAAAGAATGACAGTTTTCTTATTAGAATTACTGAAAGCCTGAATGTCTTTGAAGAAAAAAGTGTTAATCTAGAATTCTATACCTATATTTTTCAAAGGCAAAATAAATACCTTTATGCATAACAAAGCTAAGCTAAAAAGAATCATCAACAGACATGCTTATTAACAAGAAATATTACAGGAAGTCTTTGGGAATAAGTTGATTGATAACCAAATGGCAATTTGTACTGATACAAAGACATAGCACACAAATGGTAACTGTGGGAAAATACAACTTTTTTTCTAGCATTTAAACATCTTTAAAATGCTACTGAAAGTTAAAGGTATACTACAAACCCCAAAACAACCACTAAAACAAGTGACTGCTGATAAATCAACATGTTAATTAACTATTGCAACTAAAGGATGAATAAGAGAGCAAAAGAAACAAACTACAGATTGGGCAAACAGAAAGCAAACAGCTACATGGTGGCCCTACACTCTGCCCTGACAGTAACTCTATCAAATGTAAACAATTTAAACTTTAATTAAAAGATAAAGACAATCAGACTGGATAAGAACACAAGATCTAATTATAAACTGTGTCTAAAAAACCCACTTTAAATATAAGGACAAAAATAAATTGTAAGTAAAGCACAGACAAAGATTTACCTTGTAACACTAGTCACAAGGAAGCAGGAAGGGCGAGGGATATAGCTCAGTGGTAGAGGCCTTGCCTAGCAAGCACAGGACCTGGATTTAATTGGCAGCTTGGCGGAAAAATGCTGGAGCGGCTATATTAATAGTGCTCAAAATAGGTACCAGGGCAAAGACTATTACACAGAGTAAAGCGGGTCCATTTCATAATGATATGGGGGTTAATTCATCATGCAGGTATAAAGATTCTAAATGATTATGTATCTATTCAAAATATGAAGCAACTTCAAAATATGAAGGAAAAACATATGCAGTTGCAAAGAAAAACACACAGAAATTCCAATTCTCCCTAATAGCTCAATAATTGGTAGTACCAACAGACAGAAAATTAGAACTGCAGACTTAAATAATGCCATCAACCAATTTGACTCAATTGATAGTCACACAACACCTTGCTCAACAGTAGCAAAATATATATCCTTTTTAAGTTACTAGGACATTAACCAAAGAGGGACCATATTTTGGCCTATAAAACGTATCTCAACTTACAGTAAGTCACATTATAAAAAGGATGTCTCTGACCACAGTGAAATCAAATTATAGATCAATAACAAAGATACCTTTAAAAATCCAAATATTTGGATTACATAACAAGCTTAACTAACCCAGAGGTAAGGAAAAAATCATAAAGGAAATTTTCTAAATTATGAACTGAATAAAAATGAAAACATGTACCAAAGTTTGTGGGACACTGATTAAAACAATACGCTTATAGGGAAATTTAAAAACCCTAAATGGTTTGATTTCCAGAACCAAAACAAAAATAAAAAGCATGAAACACCTCTATCCCTTATTACATAGAGGCCACCACTGAATCAATCGAGTTTCAGTTACCTAAGCAAACGAACATGAGTTAACATTTTGGATCCAGGATTTCTCAAGAATATATGCAAATGAGTAAATTTGGTTTGATTTTACCCTTTGATGTAATATGCTAACAGTCTATTCTTACACATAATTCCCTAGGTTCCTGCACATAAAAGGTTACAAAGTTTCACAGTTCTTTTTTAGAGGTCAGATTTTTGCTCCTGTTCCTTTGAACATCAGAGATCTTGGTCCCAGGGAGAAAGGTAGGAACTAAGTGAGGTATGGATATTCCTTTGCAACTACCAAGTTGAGGTTGTCACAGGAACTTCAGGCAAGGGAAACCTAGTTTTCTTCACACATGGAAGGCAAACTGCCCTGCCGGGGTCTCAAGATTCTCAGCTTTGTCCGTGTCTATCTAGACATCCCCATTCCAAGCCTCGGGGTTCAACTTCTCATCAGTGTCCTAAATGAGATGTGAAAAGCCTGTGCAATTCTATTGGCACCATAATTAAAACTGGGTTCCAGGTTTGGAAAGCTTTATTCTGTGGCTATACAAAATAAAGTGCTTCAGAACCACAGAAACTCTAACTTTCTAAGGCCTGGGCTTGTTGTTTTCTCTCTGAATGTGCCAGCAAACTCAGACGCAGTCGTCTCACCTCTCCCTCAGTCCTTAAAGTCACCACTACTGCCATAACCAAATGCTTTAACCACTTACTTGGTACCCCGAGGCACCTGCTTCAGAAATCATTTTATCGCACACAATCAACCAATGGTAGTAATTTAATTAGTTATGGTGCCATTATGCACCACAGTGAGCCTGATTACTCATTAGCAAGGAACTGAAGAATGAAACAACCCCTAAATGCTTTCTTTGAGGGGTTTTTCTCCCCAGCATCCCATTCTTAGTCACAGACTAGTCAAAAAACAAAAACAAACAAACAAAAAAAAACCATAGCAGTTATTCTAACATAGAGAATTTAATATTAAACAATGTGAACCAGGGCTAGGGCCATGGCTTAGTGGTAGGGCACTTGCCTAGCATTCAGTAAGGCCCTAGGTTCAGTCTCCAGCATTGGGGAAAAATGAGCCAAATGCTCAAGAACTAAAAAGGCAAAAGGAGCAACTAAATGTCAGAGCTGTAGTAACAGCAGGAAGCAGCTATTATTCCCAGGACAAAGGAATAGAAACGTGAGAATTACTACAGTTTAGAAATTTGGAGTATGGCTCCCATGGAACTAGAACTCGGATCTAAAAAGCGGGTAACAGTGAGTCTGGTTCTAGGGGAGTAGAAAATAATAAACTGGAACACCTGACACCACTGCTAGAGTGAAGCATCAGTGCTGTGGGAAGACAGACAGAAAGCAGCCGGGCCCTGCCTCCTCTGCCAGCCCTCCGGCCTGTCTCCCTTGTTGGAGAAGCCTGATAAGCAGCCAGCTGGGAAAGGAGAAATGTGGCTTAAAGTTCCGGGGCACATCTACAAACAGTGAATCAAGGTGGTGTGAAGCTGACACATAGCACAATAACTTATCCTTGGAAGTAGCTGCTGGGTCAGGGTCCTTGTTGAAGGGTGTATGTGGCATTTGGAGCCTCTTTCTGCACAGTGCTTGGCAGGAGCTATTAAACCTCACAGAAACCAAAATACCATACTTCCGGTTGCATGATTCTTTGCTATTGCGTTGGGATCCCATAAGCAGGTGCTCCTGTTCTTTCTCCACCCCACCAATGCGGGTGGACACAGTGCAGCGGACAGACCCAAGGGGAAAGAAGCTCAGCAGTACTGAGGTAAGAAGCATGACAAAGAAAACAGAGGACCAATGGGGACTGTAGAGGGCTATCTATTTGGTTCTTCTGGCAGGAATACTATTAGAAAGATGTTTTGTGAGATCAAAATTATATCCAAGTGTTCAGTTTCTGGCTAATAAGTCTGCAGCTTTGGCTTAATCTCAGAGTCACACAGTAGAGTTTATCTACAGAGGTAAAGCTAAATCAGGTGGAAAAAATGCGTGCATTAGGCTCAAGATGACTGGTTAGGCCCAAATCAGAATGAAGTGACTGTACTTTCATGGCCCTGTGGCCTCAGCAGTGCTTAACCCAGATTTCCAGAAGTTTGAAAATTATCTGAGCTTCCACCCTTATAAAAGTGATTAACCAATTAGTATTAAATGTGTAAACCAAGCTTTAAACCTGGCAGAACTGGGATCTGAACCTAGGTCTGTGTGACTCCATCAGAACCAGTGCAAACATGAGGTTCCTGTTTCCCTTCAACGCCGATGTCAGAATCGTTATCAATGTGAATTTCATTAAATTTCCTATGCTAAATGCTAATGTCTAAGATACCTAACTACCTGGCCTATTTAAAATAAAAATGCAACCACAGAATGTAATTATCAACTAGGTAATGATTTTTTTAATGGAGAGAAATTATGTTGCTTTAGGAGAGTAACACCAACATGAGAGTCATTTAAAAATCTTGTGTTAAGACTGCTTTTCTTGCTGGGCATGGCGGGCGCACGACTGTAACCCCAGCACTTGGGAGGCTGAGGCAGGAGCACTGTTGCAAGTTCAAGACCAGCCTGGGCTACAAAGTGAACTCAAGGCCAGCCTGAACAGCAGAGTGAGATCCTGTCTCAAAAAAAAAAAAAAAACAAAAAACAAAAACTGCTTTTCTCATCTGACACCTTCCTAATTCGGATTACAAACTCTCTTTAAGGAGTAACAGCATTAAAACCTGATGGGTCAAGAATAACAAAATATGTCCATTGGTCTTTATCTTCCCCCAAACAGGGATTTTATGTTCACCTACTGGCAGGGGGAGGAGCAGTGTGAAAATGTTAAAACTTTAGTTAGTTGCTGTTTTAAAGTAATGACAAATATGTAAACAAAAGAGATTTGTGAACTTGTTTTACCCTCTGCTTGAGTTACTAACGTCCTCCTCTGCTCATGCTGTGTTCTTGAAAATGCTTCTCTTCACTGTCCACATTCAACTACTCTTCAAAATATTCATTCTCCAAATTACAGCTCACGTCTCTTTTCAGTGGGGTCCTCTCGCAGCTCTTCAGGCCATGGCTTGTTATCTACTTAGGAAAGCTGGCACATTTTGAACCTCATCTTTTCTAGAGGCTAGGAAGGCTAGAAAACGGTTGTGGGCTAGTAAGATGCTTTTAACCAGTGTGTGTTCATGAGGCTTTCCTACTCACGACACAGTGCCATCTCTTTAAGAGAGGAATTGGAGACTCCGTGGGCCGAGGAACTGCTTGCTCAGTGGTTATCCAACAGCCTATTCTCATCGACATCAGGTAAACTGCCTCCACCCCCTAGTGCAACTTAATGCTAAGACTTCTAGGGGCTGGGGATTTAGCTCAGTGGCACAACGCCTGCCTGGCAAGCGCAAGGTTGTGAGTTCGATTCCCGGTACCGAGAAACAAACAAACAAAAAATTCTAAGATCTCGTCCAGCTCCACAATTTTGATTTTTATAGCTCCACTGGCTAACTATTAACTCCAAAAGTATACAGCGAGTATAGTATAAACGCTCAAAAGGTAACCGAAGTCAGCTGTAAGTTCCGCAGAAAGACCTGCGGCCAAGTTTCCAATTCAGGTCAGATACACAGCGACCAGCCCGGTTCACGGCGGGGGCCGCTAGCCCCGCACACAGGGGGCCCCGAGCCGGGACGCAGCCTGCTGGACCAGCACTTTATCCCGACTCCAAGTCCAGGCGCTTCCTGGCTGCAGTGTCGCCTGGGAACAAAGCTGGTACCGTACGGAGCCGGAGACGCAGGTGCCGGCGCGGCGCACCGGGGACAGCGGGGCCCCACCGACCGCGATGGCCGCGGGCTGCTCGCGGAGACCCTCCCTCTGCCCGCGTGTGTGCCCCTCCGTCCCCTGCTCCCCGTCCAGGCACACTCACCATCCCAGTACCAGGCCGGTGGTCACGATGAAGCAGGTGAAGACTACCGCTATGTAAAACAGCGGCGAGTATTCATAGAGCGTCACCAGAAACACCGCAGCCATCAGGGCCGCCTGGGCTGAGCCCGGCTCCCCCGCCTCGCCTAACCCAGCTCAACCCACCCAGGCCGGACGTAGGGGGCCGGGAGGGTAGTGGTGGTGTCACAGCCTCTACGGTGCTCCGGAGGGGACAAACTTTGAAGGTCTTGCTTGCCTAGGGTTCCGGGGAGCTAGAAATCAGGATCAGCTCGGGCAGTGGAACCAGCGAGCCAATCATGACATCACTAGCCAGGCGCGCCACGCCTCCTTCGAGCCCCTTCCAAGTTATTGGCTCTGAGGAGGGGCGGGGCCCTTACTCGCACCGCCCCGCACTTGCCAGGATTGGTTGCCGGCAAGCGCCTTAGTCGGGCCGAAGGGTCATCGCTGCTCTGTCCACAAAGTCTAAGTCGGAATTGAACCAAACCTGTCCAAATTAGGTAAATGCACGTTTTCTGATGCCTAAGAGAGGCTTAACCCGTGTGCATCGTTTAGAAATCTTGAAACCCTAAATGTCAGATCCTGGGCTAATTTGGGAAACGGAGGGCACCATAGGTTCTACAGAGGGAAATACCCTCACACCTGATCTCCTCGAGTCTGGAAGACGTGGAAGTAAGCACAGTAAAAACATAAAAAGGAGCCTCTACCATAAGCAATTTTTACGAGCCTTGTCAGCCGTTTCCAATTGGGCTTAATCATAAAGGATAATTAGCATTGTGTAACTAAGGCTCTTAAAACAATCGCCTTCCTTCCACACCCCTCTTTTTCTCCTCTTTCTGCTCTCCTCGGCTTGGAATTGGCCAGACCTTTCAACGTTTTAATACTGATTTTCACTAATAATTTTTAAAAACCTTAACGAAGAAGACTTTAAGTGCACAAGTAGCTAAGTGGACTCAACTTGCCTCCCTGAAGTCTCTCGCAACTCTTACATCTTTTTGGTTTGCATTTAGTCCTAAAACAACTTGGTTACAGCAGAGAAGGGGAAATTGTGGTGTTATTCTAAGCGGTAACACCCACGTTACAAAATCAGGATTTTGTTACTGCGGCAGCGAGGAAGAATGAACATCGGGAGGAGAAGTCACCAGCAATACTCATGCGGGAACCAGAGAAGTTAAGTTTGTCCGGTGGCCTCATACATCCCTTGGGAAATGCTCATGAATCCTCTGGAGTAGCTCTGTTTGAGAAGCTTGCTTCTACATTATAATTTTAATTACCTTCTAATTATTATATACCTGATTTATGAAAGCGTAGTTTATTTAATCAGCTCTCCATTGTCGAAAATTGTTTCATTATCATGAACAAAGCTGCAATGAGTATCTTTAAAGTATTTCTTTAGAGTAGATTACTAGAGGTGTGATTTTCATTTTAAAACTATGTACATTTGTAAGCTTTTAGAGAAATGCTGTCATCCAGAAATGTACTAACTTGTACTGCCACCCTTTCAACCAGTTTTAAACATCATTTGATATTGTCACTTAGCAAAAATCTTGGTCAATCTGAAAGGCAATTTATTGCAATAAAACAATAAAGAATATTCATCACAAAACAAAAATGTAGAAAGTAAAGTGGCATTAAACATCTAATTTTGCTCCCTCCCTAACTCCACTAAAACTATGGTGGAGAGACTTAAAGTGTAAATACAAATCAAGAATTATAGGAAATAAAATCATAGCAATGATATATGGGAAGATGAAAATCAGATGGATAATTCACTCCTCAGGCCATGAAAGCTAAATCCCAAGCCAGCAATAAAGAAATCGGAGACCCAAGTTTATACTGAAGAATTTTCTACACAAACAGGAACACAAACTTATCTCAAACCCTTATTGCCCACATGAATTTCTACTACAGCCAGTGAACCTTGTGTCTCTCCTAACAGATTTTTTCCCAATGTATCCTGTACAGTGCTGGCAAGGCTGGCTTTTCTATAGCACATATTTTATTCTACTGCTGAAAATCTAGGGTTGTCATGTGATATTTCTTTGAGGACAAAGTCTGCAAGCTCATTTTTTGGCATATCCACTTTTAGGTGACTTGACTCCCTCTTATCTCTCGTTTATTCATTTAAAAATAATTAAAAATTATTTAGCGTTTGATATGTGCTGACATGGTAAAAGAATTTAAAAAACAATAAAAATGGCACATTCCCTTTTTCATGGAGCTTATCATCTAGTGGAAAAGGTAAATGTTAACCAAAGAGCTCTGAACAAAATCATAAGTGCTCTTTAAGAGAGGTACATAAAGATATGGGGACTTCTAATGAGGTAATGGAGGAATGTAAGGTACATCAGGGGAAATTTCCCCTACGAGCAGATGATTGAGATGAGCTTGGATGGAGAGGTTTACCAAAGAGAGAGCAGAGAAGAGGCATTTAGGGCACAAGCTACCGAACACACAAGTGCTCGCAGTGTAGAAATGACAGCACACTTGAAAAACTGAAAGGCCAGTGTGGCCGAAGGATGGAGTTCAGAGAAACAAAGTATGAGCTGACAGCCCAGACCATACAGGAGTTTTGCCATTTTAACTACTTAAATTTACCCTAAAAGCAACAAAAAACCTTACTGATCTGCTTAAAGGGGGCAAGGGCAACCATCCACTTGCATTTGTAGTCCATCACTTTAGTGCGGAGGAAACCGATTGGACAGAAGCTGAGATGAATGCGAGGAAATACGCGGATACAAATGACTAGATTGTGTCAAAAAGCCAGGCAAGAGACACCGCTAACTCTGATCGGGATACTTGCAGCAAAGTGGATTATTACTGGGAAATGGTTTTATCTGTGAAAGACAAAAATCCAACAATAATAGTATCTTAAGATAAAAGTGTGTTTCTCTCAATGCAAAGTCCCGAGGCAGGCAAAGCAGAGACAACATAATGTCACGTTGTACAAGAGACCCAGACACCCGTTTCGTCCACTGTATCTGGCCCCCGTTCCTAAGGTCACCTCATAATCCACAATGACTGCTCCACCTTCCAGCCATCCTGTCTCTATTCCTGCTTGCTGGAAGGAGGAAAAGCAGGAAAACTGAGACACCACTCCCGTTCAGGGGGAGGGGCGGGTAGGGAGAGAGAGAGGGACGGAAGGAACTCCAGTCTCTTCAGGTTTTGCAATACTCCATTTGTTTGGGTGAGTCTGGCTACCAGCTCGTTCCCACCAAGGCACTACTTCCACCCCTACAAGGCAAAGGGAGAGGCGGGCGCTCGCGTTCTGACTAGGTTTGAGCCGCGCCTCCTGCCGTCCTTGGTCACGTGCGGGTCACCGACGCGCTGATAGGCTGGGGCGACTCAGCCGGGCGCCAGGGCCGGAAGGGAGGCGACCACAGTACCATTCTTAAAGGGGCCGAGGAAGAGGCGACGGGCTGCGGACGGCCGGAAGGAAAATGGTGAGCTGCTATGGGAGGGCGGGGGCCAGAGGGCTAGCTCAGCCAGCTGCCCGGCTTTGCTGCTCTCCAGAGCCGAGGGTGGCGGGCAGCGCCCGGGGTGGGTCCGGCTGCTGGCAGGAGCATCCTCCATCCCGCCCGGGTCGGCCGCCCGGCGGAGCCCGGGACGAGGGTGCGGCCTCGGCTGGGGAGGGGTCTTCTCCGCTCCCGGCTGATGGAACAGGGACCCGGGTCGGGGAGCAGGGTCCGGCCCAGCGGAGGGTTCCCCAAACGCCAGTGTCCCTGCAGCGGCCGCGAGGGCCAGGCCCGGAGGATGACTTGCCCCGGGCACCTTCTGCCTAGCGGTTTCGGCCGGAACCCGAGTTCCGACTGCGTTCTCTCGGCCTCGCCCTAGCTTCCGCCTGTCCCTCCGCCCCGCTCCTCTGAAGATCTCTCCTCACCCATGCATTCTTCGGATTACAGCAATTGGAATCCTTCGACCCGAGGCGTCGGCGGTTGGCCTTAAAGTAACTGTCAGAGATTTAGTTTGCGAGTCTCGGGGCTATGGCTTCCGTTCGCTCTGATGGGCCCCACACGTAAAAATTAAGTGGAGAATTAGATCAGTTGCCAGCCAGGATGTTTTGGGTCTTTCCCAGCGGGTTTTAAAATATGCTCAGGTTTCATCAGAAGCAACAACAGAGAAACACTGCTGTGTGTCCGACCTCCCGTTAACTTTGGAGCCCGCTTCAATCCAGTAGCTCATGTGGAGGTCAATGAATCAATGGACTTTTCAGTTCTCATCTTTTCTGATCTTCCAGCTCCACTGCGGGGTGTTGGCCCTCTCCTTTTTGAAGCGTTTTCTTCCCTTGTGCTTTCTTCTTGGTTCTGGGAGGCAGAACTTTAGGTTTTTCTCCTCCTCCTCTTGGTGCCCATCTGTCTGCCACGCAGAAGATTCTCTTTTCCCTGGACCGTACACGTAGGAATCTTAGGCTCCCATCCTCATCCGTTATTTTCCATTCTGTTTTCTCTCTCATACATCGTGGCTTCAGTTACCACCCATATTCAAATGACTTGTGAGTTTATCCTCAGATCTAGTCCAGATTTTATACTACACTCCTTAGTTAACGTTCCACCTCTTTTTATCCAAAAAGAAGCCATGCACTTTCACCTCAAACCTAGTGTTCCTGCAGTGTTCCCTAACTCGGTGAAAGGTGGTGCTGTTCATTGTGTCGTAGGAGCCAGATGCCTAGGAGGCATATTTCTAACACCTCTTTTTCTTTACCCACTCTACCTCCCCTATAACCGCTCTTGTCCCTAGCTCCTTTGTAGTGGGCTAGAGTTCAGGCGCCTGGGTTGAATCCTGACTCGACCAGCTGTGTAATTTTGGGGACAATATTTAACCCTCTAAGCCTTACTTTTTTGCAAAACGGAAATAATAGTACTCATCTCATGGGCTGTTGTGATCGTGAAGAGAAATGTGTGTAAAGGACGTGACTGTATTTCATGGTGTTTAATATGTCCCGTTATTAGCATTATTCTCTTTTCTTGATTGTAATCATCTTCTCTAAACTACCCTTCGTGTCTCATCGGGGTATCTTGGCCTGCCAACCAGTCTCACTGTATGATTTTGGGTCTCTGCCTGTTTGCTTTATACCACAGCGCATGTGACTGTTTCAACCCGCAAATAGGATCATGTTTTCCTTCCCTTCCCTACTTGAAACCCTTCACTAGCTTCCCTGCGCGTACTGGAGAGAAAGCAAAAGTCCTAATATGGACGACTTCTTCTGGACCATGTTCCTGCCCACTGTCTGTGCTTGAGTCTCACTGGCCTTTCATTATCTTGGTCATATTGTGACCAAAATATGTTAATCAAGAGGTTAATCAAGAAGCATGGCAGTTTTAGTCCCGCAGGTGCCTTTTTTGGGGAAGACTCCTCTGACCGTGCTGTACTTCACCAGTCGTAGGGTCTCACAGCATCACTTGTCTCCTTTTTAGCCCTGTTGCAGGTGCTAGTTGACATGTTTTTGCCTAATTCTTTTGATGTAGGTTCCTGCACCACATCTTTTATGTGATTACATCCTTAACACCCCGAACATTTCAGGCACTCATTAAATATTCACTGGATAAACTAACAAATAGACACTTTCCACTTTACCTTGTGTGTTAACATTCACTACACAGTTGTTTTCATGGTGTTACATTTATTCCTAAGTGCTGTTACTAAGTGTAAGTGTTTGAGTTGGCTGAGTCTGAGTCCTTCCTGGTAGGAAATTTTTGGTCTGATTGTAGAATTGCCAAGTGTGAACGCACAAGTATATGGATTCCAACACAGTGTATTTTTCATTTGATTTCTGATCCCAGGGCATCAGGCTTACACAAGCTCTGAGGAGCAGAGCTTGAAGGTGAGACTTTCACGACAAACTGATCTTTATCTAAACAAAAATCAGAGAGAATAGAAATTCCAATATTCTGGCTTCATTAATCTTTCTTGAGACATAGAAAAATAACGAACTAGGGTTGAATCACAGGAAGTCCCCTGTGATTTAGCATCTCTGAAAAGACCTACAAGGATGGAAATACATAACTTCTATAGGCATGTTATTTATTGGGTAGTGCCTTTTGATGGGATGTGCTTTCTGGTTGTATAATAGCGTATACTATGGTACCTATCAGACTGTACTATTACCAGTGTTCTGATAAAGTGTTTGAAATTGCCAGTTTTGCTTTAGCCTGTGTTGTCTTTTACCTAACAGAGGATCAAGCAAACAGGCTTTTATTAAGTTTTTATCTTAATGTAAAGATGGAAGCCTTAAAGCTGATGAGACGGTGTTGAGCGTTGCTCTCGGAAGTGTCCTGGCTTTGTTGAAGGAGGAGGGGGGCATCCTATCTATGAAAAGAGACCCAAGTGACATGACATGTTTGGGACAGTCAAGCCAACTGTAGCAACAAAACAGTGAGGGAATTTGAACCATATTTGGATATTGGAGACTGGAATTTTTGTCGGTTTTTCAGGTGGGATAATTTTCCTGCCTACATTTTCCACGGCCTCTGATGTCTTTTATTTATTTATTGTAGTACCGGGGGTTGAGTGAGGGAAAGGTGAGCTACATCTCCACCCATTTTTATGTTGAGACACAGTCTAGCTAAGTTGCCCAGGCTGGCCTCAAGTGTTCAGTCCTCCTCCTGACTGTCCTGAGCTGCTGGGATCACAGGCCTGTGGCACCCTACCCAGTGCGAAGTCTTGTAAATGACGCATGCTAAATTACTTCCGGGTGAAATAGCCCCTGCCTTGGTGGTGACACAGTCCGTGGGGGCGTTGTTGAGGGTGTCGGGTGAAGGAAGATTGCCAGTGGGTAAAGCTGAGTGATTGGTACCTAGGGTCTCACTATTGTTTTCTGCTTCTCTGCACGAAGTTTCACACGTTAGAAATAATTATTTGCATGTTCTTGTTTGCAGTCGTGCATTGCACAACTGAATGAATGCTTTTGATCATTTCCTGGCGAGATTTCCGGGGAAGCTTTTGTATCATAATTTCTAAATGATTCTTTTAGCTTTTGTGTTTCATCTGATTTTATTTCCACACATTCTGTGTTTTTTCCATACATTCTTTATAGCTCCCACGGTCAACTAGGATATGAAGTGTTATTTTTATGCTCAGGGTTTATTTTGAATACTTTTGTTGTTTTTATTTTGCCCCATTATTATGAAATCCAAAAGCAAGATCATTTTCCTGTTCCTGTGCTGTAAAAATATTATGCTTGTCTTATCTAACAGCAGATGGTGACCCTTGACTTCCCATTTTCCTCCCTTCCTTTCCAATTTTTTCTTTTTCCTCTCTAATTCTGCTGAAATATGCACATTATTATGTGTCTAATTTTTGAAACATTTGTTGGCCCAGGAGAAAGTTAAAGTAGCGCTTACACAGAAGATAAAGTTGTATAATTAAATAGTATAGATTTAAAGGCCCGTAGGTGTGAAAGTTACCATAATACATACACTGAAGTCATGTCACTTTATTTGTTTTTGCTTTTGTTTTCTATGTTGTAGAGTGAATCTTTGGTGGTTTGTGATGTTGCTGAAGATTTAGTGGAAAAGCTGAGAAAATTTCGCTTTCGCAAAGAAACGAACAATGCTGCCATTATAAGTAAGCTAAGTTTTCTTGTTTTTTTGTTTGTTTGTTTGTTTTCTGTTTCTTTCCACTACTGGGAATCGAACTCATGACCTCGTGCTTGCCAGGCAGGCGCTGTGCCGCTGAGCTAAATCCCCAGCCCCTGTTTTACTTATTTTATAGCCGCATTGAATACCCTGGGCCTTCACACAGTAATGTCGCCTTCACCTGTCAGACCCCCAGACTGCCTTTAAAAATTAAGAAACATGATTCTGATGTCACGAGCCGGAGGTGGGCTGTCCCGTCTCCTGCATACTCCTTTCTCGGCTGCTCGCACTGCTCTGGAGAGGATGATCTCAGTCTGGAGGAGTGAGGGTCCCCACTTGTGACCCGTCCAACCCCATCCTTCTCACAACTGAAAATAGCCTGGCACTTCATCCTCATACAGAAGCCTTTGCCTCCATCTAAAACGGTCACGTTCACCCTGCCTCCAAAGTGACTCCAGGCCTTGTGCCAGTTCTGAACCGGAGTTCTCCTTTCGCGGGCCGTGCTTGTCACTGTCTGCTGAGAATGGGAAGGATGGTTTGCATGTTGCCCCTCCCCACTGAGCCGTGCGAGGCTGTGCAGATTCCTCTCTCTAAGTATTTAACATCGGGATGATTTAAAGATGAAGGAAGGATGGGGCGGACATACAAAACTGTGTAGACCGTGCTGAGGTGGTAAGACCTTGTCATGAATTGCAGTTCTGTTTCAAATAAATGCTATAGCGTGGGCATATGGTTGTTGAATGTAAAAGTGTATGGCAGGGCCGTTTTACCACCAAAGGTGAAGCTGTTTGAAACCAAACAGTATTTCACAGGACTTACTAAATTAGTACAAAGCCAAATATGGTCAAATTAGTGCAAAACCGAACATGGTTGACTTTTCAGATGAGTAGGAAAAGAGTAGAGGCAGAGATGATCTAAACTTATTTGATTTGGCTTGGGATCACGTCAGATGTATTTGAATATAGATCAGTGCTGTTTGGTAATTCGCTTTGTCAGAATAACCACCGAGCTCCTTGAAATTGTGACGCAAGAGGCTGTGTTCTGCAGTCCTGACCCAGGGTCTCCTTTTCGCTTGGAGTGGTAACAGTGTGGCCCACGGACTGTTGTCAGTCACCAGCTCAGTCACGGTCGCCCCCTCAGGGCCTTCTCTGATCCCGGAAGTCACATTTGTGTTAGGAAGGGTTTCCTAGTCTCATTAAATGTAAGGAGCTGACACTCTAACTAGGCAAGTTAGTGTTGGGAATGATGGGCGGAAACTTAAAAGCTGAATGCTTAAAAAGCAAAACTAGCTAATAGACCATAAATTAACGCTGCCTAAAAGGCTGAGATTGTGGGGTGGGTAGGTCATGGTCATCGTAGAATCCCAGTTGACTCATACTGTATTTTTATCTCAGTGAAGATCGACAAGGACAAACGCCTGGTGGTACTGGACGAGGAACTTGAGGTTTGTTCAAGAGATAAATATTTTTATAATTAGAAATGATTATTCAAAAGATGCTTTTGGTCAGGTGTAGTGGTGCATGCCTGTAGTCCCAGCACTCAGGAGGCTGAGGCAGGAGGATTGCCATTAATTTGAGGCCAACCTGGGCTACATAGTGCGTTCAAGGCCATCCTGAGCTGCGCAGCGAGACCTAAAAACCAAAAAAACAAAAACAAAAATGTTTTCTTAGTTACGTGAACTTTTACAGTGCATTCTAAACCTCCTTTGGATACTTACTCATTATGCATGAGCGCAGGGGTTAATTATCGTGGGCCACACTGTCTTGCTCACTGAAGTGCCTTCCCTAAGGCCCGAACAGAGTCCGGGAAAGAAGTGGTAGACGGCAGGCTGTGTGCCCAGTCAAGAGTGAGTCAGCTTTATAACTTCCGCACTGCTTGGGGAGTAAGTAATTAAAACCCTATAAATGTAAGCATTTAGTTATGAAGCAACTAGCTCAGGGTGAAAAGAAATGAACTTTTTTTCTGAAATCTGTTATTTCCTCTGAGGTGTTGGCTTGAGTCACCCACTGTTTCCTGACAATGAAAACATAAGCATGGAATGCCATGTCTGTGTTTAGTTAACGAGTGGGAGTCATTTTATTTTGTTATGTGATAATTTATAACCCTTAGGAAGTGTGTTGTGAGTATCTCGTAAGAAGTCATGGGTAAGAAATTGTTTAAAAGTTGCTTTTTCTCTGTGGTGCTAGGGCATTTCACCAGACGAACTTAAAGATGAACTACCTGAACGACAACCTCGATATCCTTTTCTTAGTGCTTTAGAAAAGTCTGTTTTGTTTAGTGGTCACAATTTTGTGTATGAGCTTATTTGTTAGATTTTCAAAAGACAGAATGTCTTTCTATATTGTGATTATAACCAAATTAAAATATTTGTGCATATCTTGGACTAAGGCAAATGTAAAGTTGATGTTTTCATGAGATAAATTATTTTCCTGAGTGTGGTGGTACTCACCTGTAATCTCAGTACTTGGGAAGCTGACGCAGGAGAATTGCAAGTGTAGAGCCAACCTGGGCTACATAACGAAGCCCTGGAAAGAAGAAAGGGGAAGGAAGGAGGAAGATTTCCTTTATTATATTGTGGGTATGATAAAAATTGAAGCAAAAGCTGGGAGGCTGAGGCAGGAGAATCACTCCAAGTTTGAGATGAGCCTGAATTACATAGTGAGATCCTGTCTCAAAGAAAAAAAAAAAAAACAAAAAATAATAATGTAAACTGTTACAAATATTTTTGAGAGGTTACATGATTTTATAACTTAGCTTTGGGACCCATTTGTAATTTTGTGGAAAGATAAAAATGAAGTGTGGCCTGAATGAATAAGATCCTAATTTGTGGCACAGTAGCAGCCTGGGTATTGGTAAGTACCTGTCTCAGAGCAGTGACTTCAGTTTCTTTAACTTGAGAAAAACCTTCATTGTGTATAGTTATAAGTATCAACACGATGATGGAAGAGTGTCATACCCTCTGTGCTTTATTTTCTCCAGTCCTGTTGGTAAGTGAATCTCCAAGTAATATGTATTTGGCCCCAATCTAATTAAACCATCTTACTGGACAGATTTTATGCTATTTTTAAAACAGAAAATTGTTGAATAACCTCAGTTGAGGTGTGTGTGTGTGTGTATGTGTGTGTATGTGTGTGTGTATTTACACACACTTGCCGGCCTCCCTAGAAAGAATGTAAAGCAGCATCTCTTAGAAAGTGAAGATAATTGTTGGGTCAAATCATGCATAAATTTTAATGATTCTGAAATAGGACACTTTTTAGCTATCAGTAGTTTATTTTCTTACTTATTTTTATCTTGGTTGTAAGTATGTGAGCTTTGTGTGATCATGATAGTTTGTTTCTCTTTTAAGTAGTCGTTACCAGCGATAGACCTGTAATCTTGAGCCTGGCTCCCAGGTAGTGTACCTTGTATTGAAGTGGATTGGACTGTGATATAGCTCTGTGATTGGATGCTTGTCTGGCGTGTGTGAGGCTCCCTGGGTTCTTCCACCAGTGCCACAAAAAATGAAAATAAAAAGAAAAAAATCACTGGTGTTTAAGGAATTCATTATCACTAGAATTCCGCTACCGCCAGTGCTCAAGGCCACAGCAGAGGCTGTACTCACGGAACTGTTTTCTAAACTTGATTATTTGTGTCTTTTTCTTAGTCCTTAAAATATAATCATTTTAACCTAATACATAAGTAGACTGTAACTTCCGTTCATGGCACATCTACCTGTTCCACCATCATCGCTTACATATTTTTTACTTAGTTTAAGCATCTATAAAATTATGATATTTAGTGTCAAAATTAAAATAAGATAGTGCTGAACAAAGTTTTTGAGTGTTTGTAAGGTTTTAGAAGTTGAGATCTAGAGCCAGGCGTGCTGGCGTGTGCCTGTAATCCCAGCACTCGGGAGGCTGAGGCAGGAGGATCATTGGAAGTTTGAGGCCAGTATGGGCTACAAAGTGAGCTCAAGGTCAGCCTGAACTGCAGAGTGAAACCCTGTCTCAAAAAGACCAAAAAAAAAAAAAAAAAAAAAAAAAAATTGAGATCTACAGAAGTGTGGAACCATTTACTTTTGCTAACCTGTGGACTTTCTTATAGCTATGTCTCTTTTTGCAAGCACTCTTAGATTCAAAGTAGAGCCCATATGCATTTAAACCAACATTTTTGTAAAACTAAATAGCAAAAGAAATCCTAGATGTGTCACTATCTTTTTTTTATTTTAAAGAGAATAATAAAAAAAGAACAAAAGCAAAATAACAGACAAAAACAAAGCAAAAACAATAAAAATAATACAGGGTTTCGAAACAAAATGGTAGGAATTAACAATGGCTGCTATATTATACACTGTATATAGAAGGATAGCTGCGATCATTGTACTGCTCAAGTCTAATGATTTATTGAAAGGAACAGTTAACGCCTAAATTTGTCATTTTCAAAAATAAAATTGATGAAAAAATAAATAGAACCAGTGAAAACGCATCATGTTTTCCAAGCCTGTGCCTCGTTTCCACACTCTTTCTTTTCCAGGGTGTAAGCCTGAGCAGCAGATGATGTACGCGGGGAGCAAGAACAAGTTAGTCCAAACGGCGGAACTGACCAAGGTGGTATTTCTCTTCTACTTGCTTGTTGAGATTATATTTCCTTAGTGTAGAGCAACAGCTGAAGTAACTGGATGGTTATGGTTTTTTATGCAGGTAAAGGTTATTGAGACCACAGCAGTAAATTAGCAAAGCTTTCGATTAGTTGGCAATACTAGAATGCTAGTGGTCTGAACCAAAATGTGATTTTTAGTCAGTGGAATAGAAGAAATCACGTTCTGAGCAGCTTCAGAAAAGCTACTGTAAGCCGGGCATGGTGGTGCATGCCTGTAATCCCGGCACTTGGGAGGCTGAGGCAGGAGGATCGTTGCGAGTATGAGACCAGCCTAGGCTACAAAGTGAGCTCAAGGCCAGCCTGAACTGCAGAGTAAGACCCTGTCTCAAAAAGACAAAAAAAAAAGAAAAGCTACTGTAACTATGAAATCTATCATGAGATCTTCACCTCCTGTAACTTGATCCGGAGTAGCTAGGGATCAGCACTGAGGCTTTCTAGAGCCCTGTGAGTGTAAAATGAACTAGATTTTGTGCTTGAATTCTGTATCATCCAGCTGACTACAATTTCCAAGTCTAAAATTAAATTATTCAAAATATAACAAAGCAACAGCGCTGTTTTATGTGAGACACTTGTTTAAGATTTAATATACTCCCCATTGTGGTGTGGCATTTTTAAAGGGTAAGGTTCAGAGGTACAGGGTCTCAAACTTCATCCAACTTCCACGTTCCAGTTTCAAATGGAGCAGCATATACTGTTAGGATTTTGAAACAGAACATAGTGTCATTAATGCTACTGCACAGTATTTCCTCTGAGGTTTTATTTTTAAAGACAGCAGTAGTGTCTACCCCTTGGGTGCTTAAGCATCAACTCAGAAAATCTTCAGGCACTCTCTACTTTTTCCTCTCCAGTCCATATGATCACCATTGATGCCACCAAACTATAGACACTACTTTTTCCTAATTTTTACCAGGGGAAAATTCTGGAGTTGTAGCAAGGGGTTGAATGGTTAGAAGGGAACTGTATACTCAGGAGGCTGAGGCAGGAGGATTGTTGTGAGTTTGAGACCAGCCTGGTGTATGAAGTGAGCTCAAGGCCAGCCTGAACTGCATAGTGAGACCCTGTCTCAAAAAGACAAAGAAAGAAAGAGAGAGAGAGGGAGGAGGGAGGAAGAAAGGAAGGAAGAAGGAAGGAAGGAAAAGAAAGAAACAAAAGAAAGGAAGGAAGGAAGGAAGAAAGAAAGAGAAAGAAGGAAGGAAGAAAAGAAAGAAAGAAAAAAAAAAGAAAGAAAAAGAAAAAAAAAAAAGAAAAAAGGCACTGTAGAGTGCCTAGCACCTCAACGCCCTGGACTAACCCCCTGGCCCCCAAAAAGGAAGGGGTCTTTTATAATCCTACATGTGCCCTAGAGTGCTAGAGTGGACATGTTACAGTTATTTTTGTGAATAATCTCATTGAGTCCTTCAGCGCCTGCCCGGTGAGGTTGAAGGTAGTGCTTCTGTCTGTGGATTGGAAAACGGGTTCAGTAATGAATGGCACGGTACTGAATGACAGAGCTGGGACTCAAACTCCCTCCGGCCCCCAGTGCCACCCCTTCTTCTGTACTTCAGTGTCTCGCCATAACCATGACACCTTTCCAAGCTGTGTTCATTCTGATTGCTGTTGGAGGTTTGGGCTATGGAGCTCCCTTCTGTCTTTAGCAGAACAGTCCACAGCAGGTGTTTACATTTGGTGCTCACATTATGGAGGATCTGCACGCTGTTCTCCAGCTCCTAACTGGGCTGTTAGTGCATGTACTTGGGCGTCCCTTCTAAGGGGTGAGGTTTTCAGCACTGCTCTCAGAGTGATTATAGATTTGTGCTTTTTATGGAGTTTTGGTTTTATGCCATCTTGTTTGCTTTCCTGTGGTTACTGAGATTTTAGCATTTAAAAGAAGCAACATGCTGTCTGCAAGGTGCATCTAATTTGCACAGGTTAAGTCATGACCAATATGAAGGAAGCATAATTTGATATTTAATGTTCAAATACATGTTATATATAATGTGCTTTTGAAGGCCTCGGACAGAATGTGACCTAAGTGTTTTTTTTTCCCCTTGCAGGTATTTGAAATAAGAAATACTGAAGACCTCACTGAAGAGTGGTTACGTGAGAAACTTGGATTTTTTCACTAATGTGAACTTCTGTGTCTCTAAAGTATTTATGTATTAACCTGACCATACTGGAACCAGACATAAATACTTATTTATTCCTAAAAAATGCACTGTTACTTACAGTTTATTTCCTGCAGTAAAGAAAAATTCATTTGTGCAAAGTTTGAACAAAGAGGAAATCATCTCCATAGTAATGCAACTTTGTAAAGTGTTTCCTTATCTTTGTAATTGTTAGGTGGATCCTTTTCTCCAGGGACTTTTTGCACTCTTGTGACTAATTTGTATAACTTTGGTTCAGAATTTGTTACTATTTACAGACACCATTGGAAAGTGGGTATTAGATTGTGATAGACAACTGTTGCCTCCTTTTGAGAAATACTGTATATTAGCGGTTTATGTATGAAAATAGCATATTATCACTTGTCAAATTATTGACATTAATTTGGAGTTACAGACTTGACTACCCAATTGTGAGCCATGAATACTAATTAATTGAGTGTCACCTGCGTTCTAAATACATTTTTCAACCACTTTCATACCTCTTGATTTCCTGTATCTTTTTAATCAAGCCCAGAAACTATGTTCATCAGTCATTCATTCCCAAGGTCTAAGAGTTAGATTTCATGATAGGATTATGACTATTAGTTTTTCTTCTTATGGAAAATAGCATCTTAGTGTTAGAAACTGGTGGGTTATAATAACCAAGGGCTTCCTTCCTGTTTCTGTTATTTCTAGATAGTTTTTAACTAGGTTAATAACACTTTATTTATATATACATTTCCTAATGTCTTGTGAGCACTAATTATTTTAAGTATGTTAATATTGTGCCTTTGATTTGTTAGTTTTATAGTTTAAGATTTTTACACTGCCAGTATTCTAGATTTGGTGAAATTAATACTTTTTTAAAGGGTCCAAGTGAAACAATTTTCTAATGTGTGTATCTGAAATTTGTAATAAAATCAGCCTCTTATTTTTAAAATTCCAACTATCTACTTGCATTGGTGAATATATGACCCTTGAGAGTGAAAATTCGGGGTATATTTGGGATTAGTTTTGTGCCATATATAAAAATTACTCGTTTTAAAACTTTGGCCAGAGTTAACAACGACACATCAATAGAACTCACATCTTTTATCCTGAATGTCAGAACATGTTCTAAACTGGGCATGTGAATGACTGACTAAGCCATTCGTGTTAGAGGACAGCACCTTTGGCTTAAAATAAGCACACTAATATATAGCATACTTTAAAAACACTCAAGATCCGGACATTCTAGAGGCTAACCCAATTGGATGAGTGAATTCTTATATTAAAAATACTGTAATCATTTCAAAACTAATAAAGGTATTATATTTATGTTGGCATATTTTCTATTTCTAGGTTCTTTGCATTTCATTTTTGAGGGTTCTGTGCCAACTTTAACAGGAAGTAAAGAGAGTTGGAACTTTCAGAACACTGAATAGGGCATCTTCTGTCCCCAGTAACGTTTGGCTTCACTGATCAAGAAGTTGGGAAACAATCCCAAGTTGGAGATGAGAAATGGCTAGAGTAGATAATTTGTTTTGGTTAATGAATGGCAAAGTCCTTCATTTCAAGAGAGAGGAGAAAACAGCCCAGAAAATTTAGGAATTTTTGAAGTAGATATTTTGATACTGGAGAATAACTTGCTCATAATTCTGCAGAAATGCACATGAAATCCAGGTAGAAAGTCGTTAATGTTTTTGAGTGAAGGGAAGGAGATTTTGTTTTACCCAGTTTTCATCAATAAAAGAAACTGGTGCTGCAAGAATGTATTTTTTTGAGATACGGTTTCTTACTCTGTCTTTCAGACTTCGGTTTTGTTTCTGTTTTTTTTTTTTTACTTGAGAAGTCCTCCACAACGTCCGATCATACCGACCTGCCAACACAGACCTCGCAGTTCTCTTGTCCCTCTGCAGGAGCAGAGAACTGTGAAAAAACTGTACTTTTTGGAGCTTGTTTGGCTTCTTCATCAGAGACACGTGTTTTGCAAGACAACAGGTTGTTTCCTTACGGGATCTGGAAAGCGTGTTCCTTATTGGGTGTCCTGTGGGAAGATCAGACCCGATGTTCTAAAGTGTTTCTCAGATACTTGTATACACTTCCGTTTAATCTAACTCAACTTTGTATTGTTCTTTTAAAGTGTATTTCCTATTTAGTCTGTTCTTCTGCCTTCCATAAATAGTAACTACAGATCTCATCACTCCAGCTTTTACATTCCGTATCTTTCTCATATAACCATTCCCACTCAACCTGAAATCTCAGTCTTTCATTTTTGGCAGCAGCTTTTCCCTTGGAACCTCCTCCATGGTCTTCTAAGTCAGCATTAGTTTTGCAATGTTTGGTCTGAAGTAAGTTCTGCATAGCATCTAATGTCAAAAGAAAACCAACTAGCGATCACAGTATGAACTTAGTATGGTTTTTGTGGCAACATAAATGACATATGAAGAAAACTGTCCTCAGGTTACTATGCTGGAATTCCAAAATGTCTGAGTTTTAAATAATAATCACTTTTTCTGGTATTGAAGCAATTACGTTAGGAAAAAAGTTGATTGTTTTTGTTCAAACTGGCTTCTGAAGTAAATGTTTGAATTGTGTATTTCTAAACAGTTTACCAAATGCCTAGTGCAGTTAAACATACTCGTTTAAGAGGGTGTTGCTAAATTTTTTATAGTCATTACTAAATAATCCATGTGGCAAAATGTCTGTCAGCACTTTCCTCCCTTTTTTATCTCCTATTTTCAGGAGTCAATCGTAGCCATAAATGCATCCGGGTCTGACACTTTAACTAAAAGTTTCTGGTTAGGGGAGATTATTTGCCAAATTAAATTTGGCAGTCCTTCCCCCCACCCATATATGTAGATGCTAAGGAAGGTGTACTTAAAAAGTTGTTTGGACTACTTTTAAAACTCAAACAATGTCATTAATCCATGTGTGGACTAGTGATGAATAGATATTTTCATAAAAGTGTAAATGCTGATATTTGGTGGAAGTAGAGAATAACTCGTATTCTGTCAGCTCAAGTATTTTTCGGATGGTCGCACTCCCTCTTCGTGGACTGATAATACTGGAATCTATAAAGTTTGAGCCTTTACAACTTAATGTGAAGAAGTGTTTCAAACATTTCTGGACAAATCCTATTTTGTATTTCTGGAAGAATGTAAATAATCTTCTAGGCTGCTTAAAACCAATGGTCCCAGGTTGAATATTCTTGAGAAACTTGTTCCTTTTTAGGCCATTTGACATTTCAAATCCGCGAGCATATTCCTGTCATGTGTAACACAACGACATAAGCTTGTGATACAAAGTGTGCTTTCCTGCTGTGTGGAATATAATTCATGTACATCTAATTACTTGAATATTCTTCGAGATCACTAACATGCTGAGGCAGTTCCCACCGATGGAGATACGATGTAATCTCATCCAGGAGGCTTGAAACATTAATGGTTTAGTCTTGTGAATTTTAACAGTTCTCTGTCATTGTTTAACCAAACGGACAACTGGTACAACTTCTTAAGCTGTGGTTTCCGTCTCTGCTAGCTCATCCTGCATGTTTATTTTGGACAGTCTTTTGTTAAGCATGGTGCTTGTACTGGTTTAAATAAAATGTTAACATGAAAAGACTTTCAGCTTTTCATTTTTTTATCCTGCCCTCCCCCCACACCAAGTCACTGATACCTGCCTGGCTTGGTTTGTGTGAGGTACACATGGACTCAGCAGTTTTACCTTACCTGGAAAAACTGGGAAGCAGACAAGAATCACTTGGCAACTTGGGGTGGGGAGGGGGATCTAATAAGACTGTGAAAATATGTCAGATTCAATCTAATGTTGAAATGATGGCTTTGTAGAAAATCTCAAATAATACTAGGGGCAAAGGGAGTTGTTTCAAATTGCAAACCCTTTGAAAGGAAGAATTAGAAATTAGGAGGTACGTGTATTTCCGAAGAAATCAGATTATCTTGTTTTCTATTCAGATTATATTTAGTTTGAAAAAAGAAATCAGATTAGAAGTTCTCGTTAAATATTGTTTATCATTACTTATTAAACTTGGAAAACATCTTTGTTTTTATAGACTATGTTTAATAAATGTCTGTTGGAAGGCACAGAAATCACTAATACATATTTTATTGAAGAGTTTACCAAGTATTTGTGGTTGCATATGTAGTAAGTCAGTGTTTGGATTGCAGAAGGAGTCATTTATACCTTCTGTCTTGAAGAATCTCACATGGAGAATATAAAATATAAAATCTTTACTCCTCACGTTTGGCTGCTTTAGCTGCTCCAACAGCCAACTGCTAAAAATTTTTCTCCATCCCTAGAAAATATCTTTACTTTTTGTCCTTTTTGCTCTTCAGCAGTGGAAAGCGTTGGTAAGCACTCTGGCTCACAGCACAGCCACAGTCCCTGGCAGGAGGGCGCACCCCGAGTGGCTGCGGAACCCTTGCACCGTGTATTTTTAGCTGTGTCAGGGAGCCAATTAGATTACAGATGTTACTGCTGAGTGTCAGGGAATTTTCACACGGACACCCCTTATCCTTGACTTCAGCTCTGCCCCTCTGTAGCATGAAAGCTCGCTGCTGAAGTTGCCCTTTTTGAATTATAGGATGGAAAAAGCAGAGAGCCTAAGTTATGTCCAAAAACCAACAGAGGGAAAGGTTGTGTGTGTGTGTGTGTGAGACTTCAACACAGCTGAATGCAGTTTCCCTTCCTCTGGGAAGTGAACAGTTATTAAGTCCCAGGCCTGAGAATAACCCCTGACCCTGCTGAACTCCAGATGCTGCCTGAGGCATAGGACACGCTTCACCCAGAGAAGCTCACTCAGACAGCGCCCCTTCTTGGTGGGGTCCTGAGCCGGCAGCTGTCCCAGTGGCTACACACTGAGGGGACTCTATCTTGTCCTGTGGACCCCAAAGCTCTCTTTAGGGCACCTCTGTGCAGTGTCCTCACAGCTTAGGGACCCACAGGTGCGGGTCCACACTGTGTGGACATTTCCATGACTTGCCATCTGTGCCTTCCAAGGCGCGGCCTGAGCCTCTTGGGTCTGCTTGAGCACAGTTCCCATGGCCTCGGAGTAAGTGAGGGCCATAGCACAGAGAAGGATCTTGAAACTGTTCTGCCATGCTGGCCCTAGTGTTCTGGGCCTGTGGTGGGCAGAGCAAGTTCTCAGTGTCTGTGGGGTCCGTCACTCTTGTTTTGGCCTGATGAATGGCATCTGGTTTCCTTCTGTCCCATCAACCTCCTTATCAGCATCTTTCCCACATCATTCACTGTGGCACTAGGGATTGAACCCAAGGCCTTCACATTGAGCTACATCCCTAGCCCATTTTTTATTTTGAGACAGGGTTTCTCTCAGTCATTAAATTGGCTAGTCTGGACTCAGACTTGGGACCCTGCTGCCTCTGCCTCCTAGAGTGCTGTCTTTTCATTCTTTCCAGCTTGACCAGGCTGAGAAATTCCCAGGTCAGATACTAATGAGGCACGATACACTTCTCATTCTCCGCTGTAGGTTTCCCACGGGAACGCATGCTTGGAGGAGTTGAGGTAGCTGAACGGGAAAGGCAGGGAAGGAACTCAGCAGAGAGTAAAAGTATCAACATCAGACTAGCCTGACTTTTTTTTTTTTTGGTACTGGGAATTGAACTCAGGACCTTGTGCTTGCTAGGCAGGTGCTTGTGCCACTGAGCTATATCCCCAGCCCTAGCCTGACTTTTATCACCTTAAAAAGGTGAGCATGATTCCATCATAAAGCAAAGCTACGAGCCAGAGGCTTCCTCTGTAGACAAGAAAAGAAACAACTGAAATGCCACAATAGATTTCTCTCTAGAATGTAGAATTTTTCTTCCTTTTGCTTATTTGTATTTTCTCATTTTTCTCTAAGTGGTATGCTAGTTGTTTAGTTAAGGTTTGTTTTTTTTAGAGGAATACTATATTTAGTTCAACAAACAGCAGACTGTGGTTTAAAAGGCATTCAGGATCAGTTTTGAAGGCTGTTGATTTGGGCAAACAGCAGGGCCATGGGAAGAGAATGTTTCTGTTGGTGGAGGATGATGAGGCCATGCTGTGTTTGTAGGTCAGGCTGGAGCTGTGGACGTGTAGGGAGTAGTTAGTGTAAGGGCAGTTGGTGTAGGGAGCACTGCCAGGTGGAAGCAGAGCTAGTATGGCAGTCAGGCACTTTTTGTGTGTGTAAGTCAACAGATACGTACCCCCAAAACAGTAAGGTACCGAAAAATACAAGTCATTCTGTTCCTTTAATGCTTTGCTTAGAGATTTCTTCTGCTCAGTGTCTCATCACACATTAAGTTCTACCTTCCACCAAACACAGGGACATAAACAGAATTCCACTGGTTCTTTGTCACTTTATAACAAGGATGGCCTTTCCTGCTGTTCCCAGTCACATTCCTCCTATTGGAGACCTCGTCTCCTACCAGCGTCTGACCACTGATGTATCCTCTGAGAAACTGGAGGCTCCCGGCTCTCATCTGCACCCTTCTCAGCGTGGCGGGCTCTTTTCACAATGGTGGACCTCAGGACCCTTCCAGTCTCTTCTCCTTGCCCAGTTCCAAAGCCACCTCCACGTTTAGGTATCCGTTAGAGCTATATTCCATTTCTGGTATCAAGTCATGCCTTAGTCTGTTTGGGGTGCTGTCACAAAATACCTTAGGCTGGGTAATTTATAAACAACAGAAATTGACAGCTCTTAGTTCTGGAGGACAGGAAGTCCAAGATTCGGAGAGTGATGATGACACTTTAATGTTTCCTCGTGTGGCGGAAGACACAAGGGGCCCCAGAGGCCACATTTTCTAATACCATCACCTTGGGTGTCAGGTGCGACCATAGGCATTTTGGAGGGCCATGTGTGGCATACGGGGACCGTATCTGCCCCAGGAAACTTGTACCTCTTTGCCTGTCCCATCAGGAAAGGCATAGCTTGTTCCTTCTGCTTTATCAGGGTTATTTCTCAGATCTGGCCCTTAATGAGCGTCTCTAATCTCGTTTTATCCTGTTTTCATCCTAACCCACTGCACTGATGCCTTGCTGGGCTTACTTTGTTCTTTCTTCTTCCGGGGAAGATTGCCCACTCTCCCTGTATCTTACCCCAGTATTCTGAACTGGGCATACGGATATCCTCCTCCAAGGCCCTTCCCTGCTCTCCCATTCTGCGGTAAGCAACCCTTTCATTCACTGGCTTGAATCCTCACATAGTGCTCACCTCCCTGCCTGATATTTTTCTAATTTTCTGCAGCTAGTCCAATTGAGGACTCTCGTGGAACAGTGTGACACTTCCCCCTGTTTTTGTTAGCATACATTTACAGTCCCTAATGATGACATTTATCGTGGGGAGCTGGTACATGTGCATAATAACACGTCTTCATTTTTTTTCAACCCTTTCCCCTTCCTTCCAACCCTTTCGTCCTTCCTTCCTCTCTCGATCCTCTTACCTTTTGCAAAAGATCTCCCTATTTCCTATTGTCTATCTTTTGCATCTCTCGTATAAGAGAAGACATGTGTTATTTAAGATTGTGTGTCTGATTTATTCCACTTAACATTATGGGCTGCGTACATTTTCCTATAATAACAATTTTTTAGTTATTTTTCAAAAGCTGCTAGGGGCTGGGGATTTAGCTCAGTGGCACAGCGCCTGCCTGGCAAGCACAAGGTTGTGAGTTCGATTCCCAGTACCAGAGAAAAACCAAAAACACCAAAAAAAAAAAGAAAAAGCTGCTATTTCTGTTTCCTGTCAAACCTCTCTTTTTTTCCTCTGGCCAGAAAGCTTCCTTGGAAAAAGAAAGAAAGAAAGCAAGCAAGAAAGAAAGCTTCCTTGATGATACAGGATTTCCATGGTATACCAGCCACTTAGTTCTCTAAAGTGCCTTTTCTGTAACTAGGACTCAGTTCTGTTCGTTTTTAAAATGTAATCTCGTACTCAATTCAGAATGATTCTCCTTCCACGTGGGCTAACCTGTGGCAGTGTGTAAGGGGGTGAGGACACACCTGTCTTCACACCTGCTGCCTAACTCTGCCATCCTCTCTGGGCAGGGGAGGAAGGAGATGAGTTAAAGATCATGTAAGCATCTGCATGTTGCTGTGGGTCAGCTGTTATTCTTTTGGATGCCATGGTGTCTCTGTTTTAACACTGACTGGCAGAAGTTCTCAAAGTAGGGGGAAGACAGTTCTTTCCAAGCATCCAGATGATGGCTCTTTCCGAAGGGTCATTCCTGGGCTCTTCAGCTGGCTTTGTGGGTCTTCGTCAAAATTAATCTCTCTACAAATTTTGCTGTGCTTGGATTGTTGACCATCTTTTCCCAGTTCATTCTTTTTCTATGTACTCGTTGCGGTTGTTTTCTCTGAATACTTCGACAGATTGGGCAAATGCCTAGCAATTTTTGTGAACGATGATCTGTTGGTTCATTTCTGTCCTCTTGGAGCCTGCCCTCCCCACCTTCCATCCTCCTCTTGGATTCTGGCCGGGTTGCTCACCCATCCTGCGGTGAGCAGCTTTCTGAATTGGAGCGTTGCATCCCCGGTATTGACTTGTGTGCATTTCTATTATTCACTCGTTGCCTGTTCTTATTCTGAGAGATTTTCCGCAATTTTCTCTTCCAACCTTTCTGGTAATTAAAACA